ACGAGCCAATTACGAATTCACGAATTAAGGCATATAAAAATGATAAAAATGGTCTTACGAAACACAGAGCCCCTTCCTCCTACGTCTTTTCAGCGGTTATATTTTCCTCTTTCGAGCGATTACTCTCATGATCGCTCGACAGAGGAAAAGGAAATTATTATAAAATGCAGAAGGTAAGGAGTGTGAGATTTCTGCTTTTTGTTACAACTATAAACTTTGATAACGAAAAATCTGTATCAGTTTATTATAATACTCTAATCTTTTAAAATGTAATGCATATATTTGAATGTTTAATGATTTTTAAAAGATAGAAAGATGATAATAGATAGATAGATAGATAGAATATGATTAATTCAGATGTAAAATGCTTAAAATTACAGATTAAAATTACTGTCCAAAATCCATGAAAATCCTGAAATTTGGCAATGACAATTAATATATTACAGGTATTTCTGCTGCAACCCAGAAAGCCTTTGCTAGCCTTGGTCCATTAAAACCACTATTCATCAGCATGCATTAGGGGTGTAACGGTACACAAAAATCACGGTTCGGTACGTACCTCGGTTTTAAAGTCACGGTTCGGTACGTTTTCGATACAGCAAAAAGTAAGAAATGCCAGAGAAATTTCCTATTTGTTAAAAGAAAAAATATTTCCTACATCTTGAAACTTTCAGGTTTATAAATGGGGGTCATCTTTGAAGGATGAACAAATAATGTTTTGGTCATCACATTAAAAATAACATTTAAATATATGAAGAGTTTAGATGCAAAAGCCATTTGAAATTTTCTTAGAATGATCATTTTTATCAAGCTTGTATATTTAAGTTCAGTAATTTCACTTAAATGGCAATGAAGATTGCCTATTAATTGTCATTTGAGTGAAATTACTGAACTTAAATGTACAAGCTTCATAAAAATGATCATTCTAATTTCTAGAAGAAAATTTCAAATGGCACTTATAGAGGCTTTTGCATCTGAACTCTTCATATAGGCTATTTATTTATATAATATTTGAGTTTTGAAGTGCTGGGAAAAGATGTGTGAAGTACTTGAAAGCAGTTCACTATTCCAGCCAAACTGGTTACAGTTAGTGTTACTATATTAAATCCATGGTGAATGTTGCTGATCTGTGGACGTAAAGTATTACTAGTTCATTCACGGCACAATATTTCTCCTGGTGTCCACGTCAGCGCTGTTTGATCTAATAGAGATCTACGGTTAATAACGGAGAAATTTGAATGCTTCTCACTAGATCTCGCAGCGATGTTATTACTTCAGTGGCGAACTCAAATGTTTTCTTCACTGGATCTCTTAGCGCTGTGTTGTAACGGTTGTAACAGTGTCGCTTGATCGAGATCGGCTCCCGCTGCACAGATGTTGCTGCTCTGCTCCGAACTGATAAACGATCCGTGAAGCACAATAGCGCAGTTTCGTTCCGGTTTCATTACGCTTGCCATTTGATGTTGTGCAACGTTGTGATCGCGCCAGCGCGAATTTTGTCGGCAGGAAAAATGGTCCAAGGAATCGTTCGGTTTGTATGCGCACCGAACCGGAAGCCTCGAACCGAAACGGTTCAATACGAATACATGTACCGTTACACCCCTAGCATGCATTGATTAATCCCATGGCATGTAGCAAAAAAAAAAAAAAAGGTGCGACCAAATCATATGCTGGTGCGACCAACTGAGAAAGTTGGTAGCACCAGTGCAACCAGTGGAAAAGTTAGTCTGGAGCCCTAACATCAATATTCATTATAGTCGAATCAAGAATCGAATCAGGAATCGAAATCGAATCGAGAATCAAAATCGAATCGAACTGTGAGCTTGTGAATCGAAATTGAATCGAATTTGAACATCTGAATCGATACCCAGCCCTACTTCCCACTAGATCTCGCTGTGATGCTATTAATTCTACAGCAAATTGACTGTGTAGTAACAGTGCTAGAGATCGGCCCACGAGTACCTGTTCCGAGCTCGAGTTGCGCTGTCTAGTATTGCTCCAAACTGATAAACGGTCCACGAAGCGCAGCTCAAATGAGTAGCGCGGTTTCATTTGACTTTCGTTTGGTTTGATGTTTCGTAACATAAAAGGCAGCTCTTATCGGTTGGGCAACGTGGTAGTGGCACCAGTGCAACCTCTAACAAAATTTAGTCTCACCGGCAGGAAAAAAGGTTGCAAAATGCAACCGTCTGGAACCCTGTAATACTGTTTTTTTTTTTTTTTTTTTTTGAGATTTTTTTTTTCAGGACTAGCCTACTCTTGTTTTCATATTGAATTGATTTACAGAGGCCAAACATACAGCGGGATATGCTCAGTGGTTTGTAATGATAGTATTGAAATTAGATGATCTGAAGACCTCACTGATTAGTTTTAGATGATTGTATGTAATAATTTTGACTGTGCAATTAAGAAAACAACCATTAAGCTTTTTTTCATCATTTTAAAACATATTATGTCTAAGTTCAATGGATGTTGTAAATGGGTTCAGTAGTGTCTCCATCACTTATCATTGTTTAGATGATGCTGTAGGCATGTTGCTGTACCGATGTGCTGAGTATGCCAAGCAAGACGTTCGCTCTGTTCCAAAACCTAGTGAACTGCCTTGCGGTCTACTGCCTACTAAGGTAGCGTTCTCCAAACTGAAATGAAACCTCAAGGGATTTGTTTGGAGTGTTGCATACATAGGCAGCATCCCTCTGTCATATATATATATATGGTGCTCTTCACAGAAAGTGTATGTGGTCCTCCTATGGTGCCTTAAAATGCTGCCTATTTAGTCAGCTCACTAGGTTTTTGTTATGTAGCATTACAATTTTACAGCTGGTTTGATACGCTTTTTGTCCAAGAGCTTGGAGGGCTAAAGTTGGCCAATATCTGAGAAAAATCTTTTTTCCTCAGCCAATTTGGACCGGGCTGCGAATCTGCTCTTTCTTCATATGTCTCTGTCTGCTGCGCATCTGCATTTACTCATATGAAAGCTGCAGCACAACATGCGGCCTTCCAAGTATGTTATCTGTCCACACTGTGCACTTATACCGAAGGTTTCCTTGCTGAAATTGTTTGCATTTTGTTTTTGTGTGCTTGTTTGGATTGAGCCTAAAGATCTCTTTATTTTCATACAGAGTCATTAATGAAATCGCATGCATTAATGAAATCGTTTTTTGATGGAGAGAAGATTTCTAGTGGAGCCTTTCATTTACTTTTTTCCCCTTTCACTATTGCAGCTTGAACCACTTATTGTCTTAATTTTATTATTACCTGAGTTTTATATTTGTTGTATCCTTATAAACTTCAGATTGGGCCCTCTTTCTCTTTTAAGGCATGATTATTTATAAAGGATGTATTGGCTGCTTGTATTTGTAGAAATATGCTGTTTTTAATCCTGTTGAGCTTTAAGGGAGCGTCTTAAAGTGTTAAATAATGCGTAATTTGCTGATAAATTAAGATCATATTATGTGAAAACATTACAAATATTTAGGCTACATGTTCATTACAAATTATGAGACAAGCTATGACTTAGGAGTCATTTGGTTTTTTTAACCTTAAACTAGGCCTCCCGTTTTATTTGAATCTCCCGTTTTATTTGAATCTCCAGTTTTCTGATGTATTCACTCAGTGAACTATCCAGTTTTTTAAAATTGTTTTTCCAAATGTATTATGATTGTATATTAAACATTATAGTGCAGAATGATGGTTTCCCAGGGCCTGAATTTTGTTTTGGAAAATGGGGGGGAAATCCCCCCCTTAGACGATTCTCATGGGGGGGATTTTTTTTGTTTGAGGGGGAGGAAGGGGGGGCATTTTTTCCAAACAAAATTATTACATTTATCTTGCCTAAATGTTTGCGCTCATTGCATTTTTACAATGGGGTAATATTGTTGTTAAGAATTTACACATCACAAGCAAGAAAGTTTTTCAATGGGTCTAACACTAGTATTCATATACAGAAACTGAAAGTAATCAAATGGAAAATAACACTGGGTAGTATTTTAGTCCTGAATAAATTAAATACATAGGCTATTAATCCTGATTCCTTTAACTTAAAGCTATCTTTTGTTGCTTTGACAACAAAATTAATGACAGACACATATGGCTGCCGTCACTTTAAGAGCTAGTGCACGGATCCTGTGTTCATTATACTGGTATGCGTTTTAAACTTAGCCCTATTAAAGACAAAACCGACTATGTTTAGAGTATAGCCTACTCACAAAGACCGTAATTGACAATTTTGCGTGTTAAAGCAATATAATCCGCAAAAAATAGTTACTGGCCAGCTGTTTTTGAGGCGGATTTTCTATGAATGTGCGCATAGAAAATAATCTCTCAGAGAGCGCGCGAGCACTGATTAGTTTAAAATCGCTTGAATGTTTAAACTGGTAAGACTTAAAAAGACTTCAGTCACGATGCAGTGATGCACTGCTGGCCCGATTGTGCAAGTGAATATTCCGTCCCGACTCCAAAACGCAAGTGTGTAACTTATTAACGCCGCAGCGCTTGATGCCTGCCTTGCACAACACATTATGAGAGAAGAGATAGAAGACGCGCGCCACCACTGAACACTCACGCTGTTTGTGAAATTGCGTCTGGCAGATAGTTGTTAAAAGAATGATTTGATTTTATAATCTGTGTGGATTACGATTGCGGGAATTTCCCGCATTATAAATGGGAGACCTGCGGGAATGATTAGAATTATGCGCAATACCCGTGCCGAAATTCGAGCCCTGGTTTCCCTTTTTTAACATAATTTCCTCAATTGTAAAGTGAAGGGTAAAATAACCTACAAGGCCACTTAATTCCTCTGACCGTAGCCATAATCTCTTTCTCAGTTTGTCTTCCATCTCCTATGGTTTTCTATTCAACCATAATATTCAATCCTCCAAAGGTTTTGGCCAGTTTCAGTTCAGACGTTTTGGCTGTTGTTCATTTGGGGTGAAACATTATTATTTTAGGCATTTACTGTGGACATTGAGTCTTTAATCGCATGCCTTTGTGTCTTACAGGCTCCGTGAAGTGTCGGAAAAGCTCAATAAATACAACTGTAACAGGTATGTTTTACCAAGTATTTACATTTTAAGCCCAGTGGTTTTAGAATTCTTTCCACATCAATGAAGTATTGAGTTTTGTAAAAACACTTGGCTAACGTTTCTCTGTCCACACGGCAGTCATCCACACCTTATTCCGTTGGAGCAGGCCAAACTTAAGCAGTGTGTGGTTGGACCAAATCATGCTGGATTTCTCCTTGAGGTATTATTTATATCATAGATTGCTTTAGGAATTTACTCCAAATATGAATATTATACCATATGCTTGTACTCGTGTTGCTCCAAATCAGTCGGCTTGTTTTTGCTCCTTTTCCCCATAAAACTTAAGTCCACACTAACCATGTTTGTCAAGCTTTACTGCTTTTTTACTGCTCCTGTACTGCTTTTTTTGCTTTGTTCCATTGAAGAAAAATTTGAATGTTTGAATGAAATGAGGGTGAATAAATAATGACTGTTTGTCTCTGATTAACACAGAGCAATGTGGAAAATAATATACTTTTTTGTTTCAGGATGGACGTATCTGCAGGATCAGCTTTGCTGTCCAGCCTGACCGACTGGAGCTCGGCAAGCCTGATGGCAATGATGGGTGAGAAATTAATACCTGTCAGACACATGGAAAATGCATGTTTGAGCTGGCATGCAAAATAACTAAATTAGATCTGTCCCTTCTGGTTATGATTGCTCTGGATTTATTTTGACCTATTAAGTTTGTTTTAAGTATGCTAACTTTTTAACCCACCTCATATGTTTAGATCAAAGGTTGTGTTGTAGGCTTTGGTTTGAAGACAAGTTTATTTTTTATTATTGTGTTAGTGTAGCATGAATGCACTTAAATATAAACACTATATATGATGCAGTTATTATCCCAGACATGTAGCCTTTTATAGTTGCATGGCGAAAATGCTTTTGTATTATATTGTATAATATTCTTATTAATGACAGGGTGTGAAATTTAGGCTTTGATGGTTTAGATGGAAGTAACTCAGTAAATCTGAATCTACAGGCTTCAGAACATTATTATAGAGGTTTGGCTACCTTTTTGTTGTCTGGTTTTATCAGCAATGTTTTTATTTTTTATTATTGAAATATAGAAAAACAAATACACATGCTTGCTTATAAATGATTTATATTTTGCTGGTACAGACTTTAAAGAGCTCATTTCATATGATTATTATTATTATATATATTTTTTAATTAAGAGATCTATGAAAATGTATTGTAACTAAAAAAATTCAAAACTTCAAAGTCTGAAAAGAGCATTTAAACACCTAAGTGAAAAACTAAGCAGCAAAACAGCTTGTTACGAATATTATGCTTGAACTAAGCAGGTGGGCTAGTGTTTCTCTTCGTGTTGTTTTTGTGATTGAAGCTATGTTGCACCAGTGCAAATCCCCTTTTGTGAACTGCAAACAATCCACAGTGTTTGTATATGACCTAAATATTTAGCGGGCATGATGGCACATGATTTAGGGGAAATTTTTAGCAGTTCCCTGCCAGCCTTTCCTACAGCTCTTGCCTGAGGAATGAGCTGCAGTCAGTTCTGATTCCCAAGGGTGTAGTCATGTTAGTCGCCCCACAGTACAAAAGGGCCGATTGGCCCGTAGGCCTGGGGTCTCCAGGCTCTGTGATGGTCCCACTTGTGGCACTATAGGTTTGTAACTGATCTCCCATCTTTTGTTTCCAGTTCAAAGTTGAGCAGTGTCTCAGGGGCAGGAAGGAGCTCCAGGCCAGGCAGGACTAGTGATCCGCCCTGGTTCCTGTCTGGTTCTGACACACTGGGCAGACTGGCAGGCAACACCCTTGGGTAAGTTGTGGCAGGGCTATCAGAAATGCAGCCATCAGGTAATGTTGGCAGCCTCACATGCGGTTGTGCCTTTGGTTATAAGAAATCTGTTTTAAAGATGATTTTACTGTGTTTTGTTTGCATGCAGTAAAAGTCCCCTCCTGAAAATATTTACACTACAAGCCCATTTCCAGAAATGTTTGGTTTTTATATGCGAGACTCTAAATTAAACTGCTAGTAGAGCTGGGCAATATAGCTCAATTGTAATAAAAATAATAAAATTCAATCTGATATTTTTAAACTTTTTTTACTATATATTTTATAATTTACATATACCTGTTTGTAATGAAACAAAATGGAGAACTTTTTTCTTAGTAGTCATTACAAATTAAATTGAAAATGTTTCATTTTAAATTGTAGTAAAATGTGCAAATGAACAAGTAAAAATATTTAATCATTTTCATTTATGAACTAATATAAAATGCATAGTTATAAACTATTTATATTATATAATTACTTTTTTTATATATATATATATATATAGTATAATATTGTTATAGCAACATGTTGTTTTGCTAAAACATTTAAATATGAAAAATTAACATTTGAGTCCCCATGCAAATTAATTTTAAAACTGATGCACAGAATTAAACTTGCACTTTATCACTTTTTTTTTTCTTTACAATGAAGTTTTAATCAGACACTAAAACCTCAGTCCTAATGCTCTCATATTCACGAGACAAGGAATGTAAAACTAGTCCTTCAACATGGTCCTTTGGAGTTCAATATCACTCGGAGAGTATCTTGTTGGCCGTATACTGATCCTGATTGTTGGTGTGCCTGACAGGAGCCGCTGGAGTTCAGGAGTAAATGGTGGCAGCAGTGGCGGCGGGGGCAGTGGCGGCGGAGGCTCAGGAGGAGGCAGCGGGAGCGGAGGGGGGGGTGGAGGAGGTGCTGGAGGAGGCGGATCTTCAGGCCGGTCCTCCACAGCAGCCCGAGACTCACGCAGACAGACCCGCGTGATCCGCACTGGCAGAGATCGAGGCTCCGGCCTGCTGGGCAGTCAGCCACAGCCGGTAATACCAGCCTCTGTCATCCCAGAGGAGCTCATCTCTCAGGTAAACTCTTGCTTCAGGAGGCCTGGTCATTATTTCTGACTACTTAAGCTGGATGTGCTTACCATGGGTCTATTTAGTAACTTAAATGTAATTTGTACATAAATCCCTAAAACCTTTTTTTTTTTTTTTTTTTACACTCAACAGCCATTCATTTTCAACTGAGAAACATTAGACCGTGTAAAAAGTTGAAATAATTTTAGTAAAACAACCAGGGCTGCAACCAAATATTATTATTCTACTTAATTGGATAATAAAGCCTTTTTATTGCCCGTGTTTTATTGGAAAATAATTTAACACATGTAAATGCTTGTTAAACATTGTGTGTAAAGGTTTGAAATATAAATACTACAATATACGGTAAGTTTCATTTAGCTTTTCACATTAATAAAATCTTAGAGAAGCATAAATTATAAAAATATAATATTTATTTCAAACCTTCACACAGTTTAGCATGCATTTATATTTAATGTTTTACACACACACTGGGAAATTTCGTAATCGATTGCCTCTTCTCTAACCAGGCCCAAGTGGTTCTTCAGGGAAAGTCCAGAAGTGTCATTATTCGAGAGCTGCAGCGCACAAACCTTGATGTGAACTTGGCTGTAAACAACCTGCTGAGCAGAGATGATGAGGATGGAGATGATGGAGATGACACGGCCAGCGAGTCCTACTTACCTGGAGGTAAACAGGCACCGGATATGAGTCAGTTACGACTGTGACATTTTCACCTCTAACAAACAACAATACATTTGAGATTGACAATACCTTTCATACTTCTACAGAAGACTTGATGTCCCTTCTAGACGCGGATATTCACTCCGCCCACCCTAGCGTGATCATTGATGCAGACGCCATGTTCTCTGAGGATATCAGCTACTTTGGCTACCCCTCTTTCCGACGCTCTTCCTTGTCTCGTCTCGGCTCCTCACGAGGTAAAGGCCAAAACAGTCATGCTTGCATACACTCAGTGTTATGACATCATTCAGCAAGATTTGTGCAACTGATCGTGCCACAACCACTTTGTTCTTTGTTAACGTTGTAGTTTAATATAAATTTACTACTTGCAACACATTCATGCAGATATGAAACCTAAGGAAGGTGCTATTGATTTTTTTTTTTTACTTGATTGAATTAAACAAAATTATCCAAGCGAAAACAGCTTCATATTATGAGACACTTAAATTCAAAACAAAACACTTAAAACAGTAGAAATCATTATAAAACTGATATTGCAGACTCTAATTTCTGATTGGCATCAGCTAAATTCTATTGTGACGTGTCAAGTTGCATTGCTGAAACTGTAAATTACTGAACTTAATAACACCGCTTAAGTTTAGGGCATGTCCCACTCTATTTTACAGTCAAATCATGTGCAAAAAAAAACAAAAAACAGACTGGATATAACTTAACCAAATTATGTAAAAATTTTTTTTCATAAACCAGCATCCATGGCAATCAAATACCTTGCTGCATGTTTGTGTTCTGTGTGAGTGTCTGTGCTTTGAGAGAGTGTCCAATTGTCCTGCATGGTCATAGTCGTCGTTTCCCCTAATGAGCCCTCTGCGAAAGGCCCTGCAGTGCAGACAGTCACCAATAAGACCCTGCAGTTTATACCCATACATCTCAGCAAATGCTGGACACCCGTCAGCAAGATTTTTCCGCTGCTAATGCAACCCAGCAGCTGACAAAGCCAGTTATTATTCAGTATAGTGTCTATATGTTGCCCAATCATTTTTAAAATAGGGACCATCACCTAAATGGTCATGGATCCTTTTCACCAGCGGTGTCATTTACGGCACAATGGTCAGTTGTTTCTGGTGGTTGGTGTCACAGAAGTACAGCAGAATTAATTTTTATTACATATAATAGTCACTATCTAATTTGTTTGAAATCTCACTATTCCGAGGGTCTTTCCCAGAGAGTGGCTTACTGTTATCCCACTGGTGTGACCCTATTGCATACCAGTTCTCCTTCTCCCCTTAGAGAGAGACTCTGAACTGCTCCGTGAGCGGGAGTCGGTCCTGAGGCTGCGAGAGAGGAGGTGGCTGGATGGAGCCTCATTCGATGCGGAGCGTGGCTCCACCAGCCGCGAGGGAGAACCGAGCCTTGACAAGAAGAGCGTGCCGCTGCAGAGCCCTGTCACTCTGGGGGAAGAGCTCCAGTGGTGGCCTGATAAGGTGGGCCTTTAAGCCTTTACTGTCCTAGATTGCCTGACGTTCGATTACTGTGGTGCATTTCAAGTTGTGATGTATTTAACAGACAATTTCACCAAAAATGAATGTTTTCATTAACTCAACCTCATGTAGTTTCAGACATTTTTGACTTTATTCTGTATAATATAAAAGCTACTTTGAAGAATGTTGGTAAGTGAACAGTTTCAGGACCTATTGATTTCCATTGTATGGTCAAAAAGTACAAAGAAAGTCAATGGAAACAGAAACTGTTACCAACATTATTTTGTGTTCAGCAGAAGAAAGCACTGCATAAAGGTTTGGTAAATGTAAGAGTCAATGATAAAATTTTCATAATTTTGGGGTGTACTATTCCTTTAAGGGTCAATTGTTCTGGTTCAATGATTATTAACATGTTTTCAGTTACTGCATTTAGTTTATTTTATTTAGTTTGTTTATTTTTGTGGAGCCTAATGGTGCGTTCACACCGGACGCGAATAGCGCGTCAGGCGCGATTGATTTCAATGTTAAGTCAATGCAAAGACGCGTTACGCGCGTAAAAAATTCCTGCGGCGCGAATGAGGCGTAGAGCGCGGCGCGGTAGACGCGAATACGCCTCATTCGCGCGTCAAGTTTGCGCGAATGGCGCGAATTGAAGCGTCTGGCGCGGAAGCGCGTTACGCGCGAATGATTTAGTTAATGCTATTTGTGCATTCATGCGTTTGACGCAAATTCGCGTCTGCCGCCCGAGTTGAAAAATTTGAACTTCTGCGTCAATTCGCGCCGCGTTAACCAATCAGGAGCCTGCTTGCTGCTGTCACGTGGTGAAGTGAAAGTTTATTTTATTAAACTATTTTGTAATATTACTAAAATGTCTGGTGTGGTTCTAATGCACAACAAAGCAAATCTTTCACATAAAATCTCGATTTTAATATATGAGTGATAGTACTCATTTTGTATTGAATGCTATTTATTCCATATCTATTATATGAAACATTATTATTTTAATGTAAAAACAACAAACACTTAGTGTATAATAAATAAATAAAAATCACAGGACAGGTTTCACTTTTGGAGGCTGGCTCCATTTATTATCAAATAAATGTGCGGGCGAGGGTGAACCTCTTGCCGGGCTGTTGAGCGCAGGCTCGTCAGGCATAGACCACTCGAGGCCGAGGCTTTACACGGCCTACGCTGTCCTCGTCAACGTCCTCACCGTTAGGTCCACCAAACCTAGCTCCTGGAACAAATGGTGAAACTCCTGAAACCCTCCGGAGGGTCTGGTGGATCCGAGTACAGCGACGATGTACCCTACGCAGCTGTTTCTGCTCTCCAGAGCAAATACGAGCGGTGACTCTCTCGATTAATGCTAATGGTAATGCTCGATAAACATCTAAAAAAGATGGCCGCCTCCGGATTTCGCTTCTGACGCGCGTAAATTTCGCTTCAAACCTTTGTTTTTACGCGCGTCAGTTTCACTCTTGACGCGCGAATTAACACAAAGTGGTCAAGCGTCAAACTAGACGCAGTAGACGCGAATTTGACGTGCTATTCGCGTCCGGTGTGAACGCACAGTTAGTCTTATTAAAAGGCTGAAATGCTTGAGGGAGAAATAGTGTGGCATAATATTTCTTTCTATTTTTCCAATTCTATTTTTTTTTTTTTTTAAATAAGTTAAGCAAACTGGTCAGCCTTTTCGAGTTGGTCACAGTGGTGTTGGCAAAAGCCATTTTGTTGTAATGTGGTGGCTATAACACCTGTTTAGATTCTCATAAATGAATGAATGAATGATGTCAAGGTCAGTTTTTTTTTTTAATATCGTATTTGACCTTTTATGACATTTCAAGATTAGTTCAGATTCACATGTCAATTGGTATAACTTGTTAATTTTTCCCCCAATTATTTTAAGTTGAAAGTGATTAGTCTTTATTAATATTTTGAATGTTTATTTTTTCAGTTTTTGTATTTTTTTTTTGTACAGTATGTTTTTATTTTTTTTATTTTTTTATTTTAGTACTTCAAGTTAAACTAATTGAAAATGAGAAATGTTGCCTTGGCAACTAGCTAAAATAAAGCGTTTTTTTTTTTTTTTTTTTTTTTTTTCAATTAATGGTGATTTCTATTTCAAGTAACAAATGGTGGTTTTATTTTTAGTTAACAACCGTAACCCTGATTTTTGGAGTTTTTAGTGGTATAAGGATTTTTCAGAAACTAATTTTAAGATTGCATTTTCTAAAAACTTTGCATGAGCATTTTAAACTTTATTTTTTAAATAATTTGTATTTATTTATAATCTTTCACATCCTTATTTGACCTTTCAATTTAATGGCTGCTTGGATAACACTTTAGATTATTAGTCTCCAATTTCCTTGGGTTCATTTAGTTATTAATAAATTTATTTGTATAGTTGCTAAGTTCTATATCCTTGGTTGTGTGATCCTTTCAGGACTATGTAACAAAGTTTGTCAGCATTGGGGCTTTGTACTCGGAACTGATTGCCGTCAGTACCAAAGGAGAACTCTACCAGTGGAAGTGGAATGAGCCTGAACCTTACAGAAATGCACAAGTAAGATTCACAATGCATATCAGACTAGATTGAACTGACTTCAGTTGATCAATGATACTGTTGTGTTTTTACACCTGCTTTACAGCAGAATAGGGGTGTGGGATATTGACACAAAATTATATCTCTGTTTTCTGGGATTTTCTCTGACGATATTTTGCTGAGTGTTTATTGTGTTGGTACCTTGGACAGCTGACTCCTAAAGTTTTTGATATAATTCATATTCTGTGCGGTGGTTAGTTAACAGCAGTGACAGAAATGACCTTTTTTTAATGTTTAAGTTTATTTTTACCTTTTATGGACATTGTACCTTTTATAAAGCCATTTTTTCTGACCTAATTAAATGAATGCATCATCTTTAAAAAAAAATTCTTACATTTAATAAATTCAATTAGAATAATACACACAATAGGGCTGTTACCAATCAAATGAAATTGGTCTCAACAAAATTCATCTTTGCAATGCAAAAGAAACACAGAATCTGCCTCTGAAGTGGCATTTAGATGCATTTACACAGAATGTTTAATGCAGCTCATATGAACATGAATGCATTTAACCTGCAGTTACAAATGCATAAATAATGTTTTGTGCTCTCATAGAATCCTTCTATACATCACCCCCGTGTCCCTTTCCTTGGCTTGACCAATGAGAAGATCACCCACCTGTCTGCCAACAGTATCCGAGCCACTGTGGCCACCGAGAATAACAAGGTAAGACCACATCGTGATATTACTTTACAATAAGGTTCCATTTGTTAACATTAGTTAACTACATTAGTTAACATGAACTGACAATGAAAATTCTTCTAAAGCATTTATTAATCTTAGTTAATGTTAATTTCATAATTTTCTAAAATTATTGAAATCTAAATTTGTATCTGTTAATATTATTTAATGCACATGAAGTAACAGATTAATAAATACTGTAATTAATGTGTTGTTCATTGTTAATGTTAAGTAATGCATTAACATTAACTAATGGACCTTATTGTAAAGTGTTACTGACTTTTATGAGAGTGGGTGAGAAGAAAATCATATGACAAGAGCTGGCAGATACAGTAAGATTGGGTCACACTTTATTTTACTTTGTTACACTTGTAGTTACTATAGTTAATAACTATAAAGTATGCACAATTACATGCAACTAACCGTAAATCAAACCTAACCCTATAATAAACTCATGTAATTAATATTACTTAGTACTTAAATCTATAATTGTAACAAGGACACATTAAAATAAAGTGTAACCTAAGATTGTGCAAGAGCCGGTTGCAAAAATCAATGATGCACAGTCTCGTACCAAAAATGTCCTCAGACCTCAAATTTCCATTAACCAATCTGTATTGTGTAGGTGGCGACATGGGTGGATGAAACTCTGAGCACTGTTGCTGCTAAACTAGAACATGGAGCACAAACGTTCCCAGAGCTGCAGGGAGAGCGCATTGTCTCTCTGCACTGCTGTGCCCTGTATACCTGCGCTCAGCTGGAGAGCAGCCTTTACTGGTGGTGAGTTTACAGCAGGGGTGTCCAAACCTTTTTCTAAAGGGGGCTAGATTCAATGTTGTGGACACGCCTGGGGGCCGGATAATTATTTATAAATAAAATAAAAATAAAAAATACTACCGTATTTTCCACACTATAAGGCGCACTTAAAAGTCTTTAATGTTCTCAAAAAACGACAGTGCGCCTTATAATCCGGAGCGTCTTACATATGGATCAATTGGTTAATAACGCTCCGTGTTATTAAATTCGCCCGCGAACTCGTGCTTGTGTCCATCTTATGCCCGCTCTGTCACACAGCCAGTTCAACCTCGTATAAATCAGGTTATGTGTGTAAGTCACGAGCGCTCACTCTCACTACCAGACACACTGTCCCCGGCGCTGCTCGCGCGGCACAGAATGTTCATAAAGCGCTCCCCGTTCACAGTAACCGGGTCGTCTCATTCAAAACAGCCAGCTGTAATGGTGTGTTCACACCGAACGCGAATAGAGCGTCAAATACGCGTCTAGTTAGACGCTAAAACATTTGTTCGAGTTCGAATTTTTCAACTTGCGCGGAAGACATTCGTGGCAAACGCGTCGCCCAATTCGCGTCATTCGCAATGCCTGGCGCGAATGATGCGTCTATTCGCGTCTTTGCATTGACTTTGTATGTAATCCACTGGCGCAAACAATTAAATTCGCGTTCGGTGTGAACACACCATAAGTTACGTGCCCGCCCCAGCGCGCTCACGCTTACTAATAAACGCCTCGCCTCCGGCGCCGCGCACTCGCTACATTCCCTTTAGCACATCTAGTGGATGCATAACGCAAACCCAGTCAAACATTTGACTGCAGTATCTTATGCGTCTTATAATCCGGTGCACCCTATATGTGAAAAATGTTCTAAAATAGGTCATTCATTGAAGGTGCGCCTTATAATCCAGTGCGGAAAATACGGTAAATAAAAATAAAATAAATATTTTTTTGTTTTTCACCTTTAAAATAAATAAAAAATTTTATTTAAGACAAATAATATAAATATATAATGTTACAGTTTAATGTAAATATATATATTTTTTACATTACATCTGTAATATTTATTTATGGATGTCTTAATTTCTTTATTTTCAAACATTGCTTCTCATTACAAGTTTGGGTAGGTGGTTGGCACGTGTTCCCAAATGCACGTTAAAGTGACTCAAACTCAGAGTAGATGCAGAGACGAAGTTTGTATGTTGCATTTACTGCGAAATGAGCCACTTTGAGAGGCTGCAAACAACGGCGAATGAGCTGCTCGCGTGTGAATGAACAGTGCCACACTTCACTCTGAAACACACCGTGCATATATTTATTTAATTCGAGATTTAGCCTTCGAGATTTGATAATGACACAAACCATATCGCGATTTTGGCTTATTTCAATTTATCGTGTAGCCCTGGTTTGAGCTATTGTGCTTGTGATCTGTGAATAAATTCTGAATTTCTTTTTCCTCCAGGGGTGTTGTGCCTTTTAGTCAGCGAAAAAAGATGCTTGAAAAGGCCAGAGCCAAGAACAAGAAGCCAAAGTCTAGTGCAGGCATCTCTTCTATACCCAACATCACAGTAGGAACTCAGGTGAGGAACATGCTTTGGTGGAAGTCAGAAATGTTCTTTATTTGTAAAATTCAGTTTTTAGAATTGCCTTATTAAATGTATCTGTGTCATCTTTTGTTAAATACTTGTATTTATTTATTTAATCAATCAATCAATCAGAATACTATAGGCTGTTACTAATGACTTTTGTTGTTGTTAATATAATTTCATATTTACACTGCAAAGTTGGCACAGACCCTGCATCTGAGATAGGGCTGAACGATTAATTGCTTTTGCTATAATATTGCAGTATGATAAAACGAGATTTTTTTAACCGCAAAGGCTGCGATTTGCACTCTTCCTTCTCTTAGGTGTGCCTGAGGAATAACCCTCTATATCACGCTGGTGCCGTGGCCTTCTCCGTAAACGCGGGGATCCCTAAAGTGGGCGTCCTGCTGGAGTCCGTGTGGAACATGAACGACAGCTGCCGCTTCCAGCTCCGCTCACCCGAGAGCCTGAAAAACATGGAGAAGAACACCAAGACACAGGAGACCAAGTAAGATGGCTGTTTTTCTATGGCCATACACATGCACCGAGGTATTTATGCTAAAAATAAGATGCTGATGAGTGTGCTTGTTCTTGTCATCAGGACTGAAAGTAAGCCAGAGCTGGTGAAGACGGAAATGGGCCCTCCGCCCTCACCAGCGTCCACATGCAGTGACACTTCCTCCATCGCTAGCAGTGCTTCTCTGCCCTATAGTATGTACACTGAATCGCTAAAACCATAAGCTGCTGTACAGGGTTTATATGGGCCCAAAAACTACCCTGTGCATTTCTACTATCATTTTGCTAATTTTTCTGTAGTGTAAGTGTTCTAGTCATGGCTTGACAATAATGATGTCCCAGGGTCAGTTTTAAATGAAATGGTCACCCTCCCAATTAGGCGTGTGCTGCATTTTTGTTGATTTGATTTGTGTGCATGTATAACATGTATGTTTCGCTTTACTCTCGTGGCCTTCCTCTTTTTTTTCTTCTTTTTTTTTTTAAATGCATAAATAGTTTAAGGACAATTTGGTTTTCATAAAATTTATTCAGATTAGTGATAAGAAAACATGCAGAATAAGTGTTTATTTTATTGCACTCTTTTTGCTCCTGTAGATTTCAGTTGCAGTACATATCTTTTACGTTTTCTGATTTTTTACGAGTCTGAAATCGCCACTTCAGCAGCTTTACATACACCAAACTTTATGGTTTTATTCTTATCTGTATTCTCAAGGGTTTTTTACTGCGGGGGTTTGTTCATATATCATTCGCCTGGTTTTATACATTTTATTTTCCTAAAAACATGGTGAAAATTATTTTATTTCTGACAGTATTTTCTGGAGTGATTTAAAACGTGATCTCATAAATCCCTTGTTAAAAACGTTGACTCTAAAACGTCAACAAAATGAAATGGGAATTTTGAACCTCGCCTAATCCCAGCTTTATTTCTGATTTCTGTTCAGTAAGTGTATGCAAATTACTGCATATTACATTGGATAATGTTTAATTTACATCATTAAACATGGCATTTCAGAAAACTTGTTATATATATATATTGCAATTCCTAATGTAATCAATCCACTGGGAAAGCTTTGTGATATCAATTAGTTATTTTAAAAAAAAACCATATTTAGTAGTAGTAACCCTTTATTGTCACTTAGTCACAAGTACCAGTGAAATTAGCCATCAGCCTGTCCATACAAACATATATACAATATGACAAGGGGGTAGACAGGACAGGAAGACAGGGAATTGAGGAAAATACAGCATGACACGAGGAGAGGTGAGGAGAAAAAAAGGCAACCCCCAGACTATCCTCCTGTAAGGAGCACAGTGTGGGAACAGGAAAAAAACACCTCAGCAACATTAGCACCCAATCAGTACACTCTACAACATGAACAAGACTTGCAACAGATACTAAGATGCGGCTGCAGTGTTGTCTTTGCTAACCGATTACCTGCTGTGCTACAGAGCGAAGGCGCTCAACACCGGCTCCAAAAGAAGAGGAGAAGGTGAATGAAGAGCAGTGGCCTCTACGAGAGGTCGTTTTCGTGGAGGACGTTAAAAACGTCCCCGTGGGAAAGGTGGGTGCAGGCGTACACGTCGGCCAGCTTGATCCAGTGGAGACCATAACTACAAGCGCATCATATTTCTCCACTGTGCTTAATTATTATCCTCAATTTTGCAATGCATAGCCTTTTCATGTAATAAGAATTTCCAATTATAATAGATTACATTATATAAGCATACTGTGTTTTTCTCGACACTTGATGTTCCTGTCTGTTTTATCTCTGGTCTTTGTGTGATGCTTTGCTATTACACCTCATTTGCAACAGTTCTCTCTTTTGAACTCAAGGTGCTAAAAGTCGATGGTGCATATGTTGCTGTGAAATTTCCAGGGACGTCGAGCAGCGTGAGCAGCCAGAGCGCAGCTCCCACTGACTCTGACCCCTCCTCACTGCTGCAAGACTGTCGACTGCTTAGAATAGATGAGCTACAGGTAAACACACTTTCAGCTGTAAAAGTACACTGTCATTTGCAGAATCTTAAAAAGCATTGGTGGACAATTCAAAATGCCATTTTGATGGATAAATTGACAATTTTAGGCCTAAATTATTGTTGTTAAGGTTAATGAGTCTGGTTGTGAATTGTCATTTATGATTGTTGCAAATGTTAAATTTGGCTATATCAGATACATGCTCAAGAGAAGAAGAGAGAAGAATCTTTAATGTCATTATGCTCGCACATTTTGTATATGAGACTCTCGGCTTTAAGAAAAGTAACACCGCAATTCTATAACACAAGCAATTATATAACACAAGCATATGGAATAGCATAGGTCTAAAGCAGGGGTTTTCAAAATTTTGAATGTCAAGGAACCCTAAATAACCCTATTAACTATTACTATAACCACCTTCCTAAAATATAAAGGCATTTGCATGTTTTGTAGATTATTTTATATAAAAAATATAGTGTTTGAGATTTAAATATACTTTTATACTATCATTGTACTGAAGCAAATTCTTAAAATATTATCTGGAAAATATTTGGTTGACAGCGTATACTATATGAGATTATCACTTTTTTCTTTTCACAAAACCATTAATTATTAATGTAATTTTTTTCTTAATGTAAAATTTGTCAATAGTTTAAATAATCACAATAAAATCATGATTTCTTGTCTTTAGAAAGCAGAATGGAATGGTTATATTGGTGAACGATAAATAATTCATTGCTTAAAGCGTGTGTAATATGTTTGTGTGTGTGTAATATATTTTACAAATATATTTTAAGTGCTTGGACCCCAGTTTAAAAACCTTTGGTCTATATAGATATTGAAATATGAAAACAAACATGACACGTTACTTTTGTTCCCCTTTTGAACAGGTTGTTAAAACTGGTGGAACACCAAAAGTTCCTGACTGTTTTCAGCGCACACTTAAAAAACTTTGTATCCCAGAAAAAGCAGAAATTTTAGCTGTGAATGTTGACTCCAAAGGTGACTACTGTGTTCAGATTTATCAGACTTCAATTTGTTGTGAATTTGCCCTGTCATTGACGGCTCTGATGTCTTGTGTGCTGCAGGAGTTCATGCTGTGTTGAAAACAGGCAGCTGGGTACGGTACTGTGTCTTTGACTTGGCCACCGGAAAAGCGGAGCAGGAAAATCACTTCCCTACCAGTAACCTGGCCTTTCTCGGCCAGAGTGAGCGTAATGTGGCCATCTTCACTGCTGGCCAGGTGAGACCATCACACAGCCTGATATGTTTCATACACCTGAGGGGACTTTCCATTTCTCTTTGCCTGTTTTAACTTTCTCATGTTTGCATATCCTCAGGAGAGTCCCATCATTTTGAGGGATGGTAACGGCACCATTTATCCCATGGCTAAAGACTGTATGGGTGGAATACGTGACCCTGATTGGCTAGACTTGCCGCCTATTGCCAGTCTAGGCATGGGAGTTCACTCGCTTGCCAACCTTCCCACTAACTCCACAATCAAAAAGAAGGCAGCCATCATCATAATGGCTGTGGAGGTATACTATACCAGCCTGCTAAAAATAGACATTAGTTATTTAGAAAAAATTAAAGATTATTTAGAAATATTTAGGAGTGCTCTACTTGTTCTCCTAAATAAAGAAGAAATTTTACAAGAAAAATGTATAATTTTTTTAATACAAAAAGTAAACTATTTAAATTTCTGTTTCAAACTATTTATTTAATTATGGAGTATATATATATATTTTATTTATTATTTATTAATTTATATTAAATTAAATGCCAGATACTGTTTTGAGTAACCAAAATGCAAAGAATAATCAGAAAAAAAAAATTCTGCGTAATGCAGGACTTTTAAAGGACAACTCCGGCGCAAAATGAACCTCGGGTGCAATAACACATTGGTACAGACTAAATCGTTCCCTGAGATTTGTTTTCATGATAATCGAATATAAAGAGTTTTATCTCTAAAAACAGTTTAGCTTATAACGCTAGTATATTGGCATAGAGTAAGCAAAAAGAGATCGCTAGTTAATACCATTAACAAGGCTCAAATTAGCCCCACACTAACACGGCAGCATAATGAGTGTCCTTACATGCAAACCGAAGCATTGAGAACTTTGTAAGTGTATAGACAGTTTAATAAGAAGATACTTTACACAGACAGTACAGTTAGCGCATACAGACAGGAGCCATCTTGGAAAACCGTCTCGATCAATCGAACCACGAAGGTGAGCGAACAGTACGTGTAGATATTGAAGATAAGATAAATTATATTTATTTTTTTATTTTCTCTGTTGCGTTCAGTGCTTCTCTTATGCGCTCAGTGCTTTCTTCCGGAAACAACGGACCATATGAGATTCCAAGTCACAGTTCAGCTCACGTATCACCGTGTTCGTGGTTTGACTGATCGAGACTGTTTTCCAAGATGGCTGCTGTCTGTATGCGCTAACTGTACTGTCTGTGTAAAGTATCTTCTTATTAAACTTTCTATACACTTACAAAGTTCTCAATGCTTCGGTTTGCATGTAAGGACACTCATTATGCTGCCGTGTTAGTGTGGGGCTAATTTGAGCCTTGTTAATGGTATTAACTAGCGATCTCTTTTTGCTTACTCTATGCCCAATATACTAGCGTTATTAGCTAAACTGTTTTTAGAGATAAAACTCTTTACATTCGATTATCATGAAAACAAATCTCAGGGAACGATTTAGTCTGTACCAATGTGTTATTGCACCCGAGGTTCATTTTGCGCCGGAGTTGTCCTTTAATTGAGCAATCCCGAAATACACCAAGACTGTTATTTTGAAATGTTTTGACATTTACTACTTCCAGCTGTTCTTTCAAAAATTAAAATTTTGAAAGAATTTTACAATCAACACATTACAAATTTACAACCATCTAAAACAAATTAGAATACTAACACCATAAAGTAAGCGTTGTCATAATTCAACTGATCTGTTTTACTTTAAAATGTGTAGTGCTCATATTAATTGCATTAAATCATCGCCTTTTGAAGTTTAATAACCATATTAAGCCCCAAATAAAACTACTTAACATATTTAAGACTTATGACCTTAAATGAAAAAAAAAAAAAATTTAAGGTGAAAGTTACCCCATGATTTACTCACCCTCAAGCCATCCTATGTGGATATGACTTTCTTCTTTCAGACGAATACAATCTGAGTTATATTAATAATGTTCTGGCTCTTCCAAGATTGAACAGATTGAAGCTGAAAAAACTGCATACATCCATCATAAACGAACTCCACATGGCTCTGGGGGGTTAATAAAGGCCTTCTGAAGCAAATTGATGAGTTTGTAACGTGTTAAATATGAATATTTTTCTTATACAAAGTAAAATTCAATCTTTTGGTTGCGATCCTCTGTCATAATAAAACTTGGAAGAGCCAGAACATTTATTAATATAACTCAGATTGCATTCGTCCGAAAGAAGAAAGTCATATACACCCAGGATGGCTCGAGGGTGAGTAAATCATGGGGTAATTTAAATTTTAAAGTGAAATACTCCTTTAAGGACCAGCAGGGACCTTTTTATTCGCACACATGCTCCTAAATACATTTTTACAGTTTTATGATTTCCGGTTGATTTATTGTTTGCTTTTTGCGTTTTAGAAGCAGACGCTGATGCAGCACGTGCTGCGCTGTGATTACGAGGCGTGCAGGCAATACCTGATCAGTCTGGAGCAAGCGATGCTGCTGGAGCAGAACCCACACGCTCTCGATGTTCTGCTGAGCCACCGCTGTGACGGCAACCGCAACGTCCTCCACGCCTGCGTCTCCGTCTGCTTCCCCGTCAGCAACAAGGAAACCAAGGAGGAGGAAGGTAAACGTGCATTTTTACAGTGTTATTTTATAGGGGTGTACGGTTCACAAAATTCACGGTTCGGTTCGATACGATACAGTGGTGTCACGGTTCGGTACATTTTCGATACAGCAAAAAGAAATGCCAGAGAAATTTCCTATTTATTAAAAGAAAAAATATTTTTAAATAAGTTTGAGTTTTCCTACATCTTGAAACTTTCAGGTTTATAAATGGGGGTTATCTTTGAAGGATGAACAAATAATGTTTTGGTCATCACATTAAAAATAACATTTAAATATAGGCCTATATTTATATATATAATATTTAGATAATATTTGAGTTTTGAAGTGCTGGAAAAAGATGTGTGAAGTACTTGAAAGCATTTCACTATTCCAGCCAAACTTCCATGGTTACAGCTAGTGTTATTATATTAAATCCGTGGTGAATGTTGCTAATCTGTGGACTTAAAGCCTATAACTAGATAATTCACGGCACAATGTTTCTCCTGGTTTCCAAGTCAGCGCTGTTTGATCTAATAGATATCTATGGTTAATAATGGAGAAATGTGAATGCTTCTCACTAGATCTCGCAGCGATGTTATTACTTCAGTGGCGAATTCAAATGTTTTCTTCAATGGATCTCTAGTAACAGTGTCGCTTGATCGAGATCGGCTCGCGCTGCACAGATGTTGCTGGTCCGAACTGATAAACGGTCCGTGAAGCACAATATAATGAGTAGCGCAGTTTCGTTCGGCTTTCATTACGTTTGCCATTTGATGTTGCACAACGTTGTGGTGGTCGCGCCAGCGCGGATTTTGTCGGCAGGAAAAATGGTCCAAGGAATCGTTCGGTTTGTATGCGTACCGAACCGGAAGCCTCGTACCAAAACGGTTCAATACGAATATGTTACACCCCTAATACGAATACATGTACCATTACACCCCTATTATTTTAGCATAATATATATACTATATACATTATTAATCATTAAAAGATAGCAATCTCTATACACAATCTTATTCCTTAATGACAATGATTCGGCTGTGTCTATTAAACCTTTGACAAGTACGATCACAGCGAACATTCAGATCTGCGTTCACTCTGCCACTGACCCACAGATATGAAACGCCTTCAAACAACCACACAGGATCATTATTTCTGTTACAGTAATTCAAATTATCACAGAAGTACTGGGATACTGTAGTGACCAAAATAGAGTAAATCACCTTTTGAAAGTAACTTGAAACTTCAAATAAAGATGGAATTATTACATTGTTGCGCCGGTAGGTGGTGAGAAGAGACTGTTAAAATAATTATTTGAGTAAATCATTTGAGGTAATTCATCCAGTAATGAAACAAGTGAAGTCTTTATGAATGAGTCATTGAATCAATCATTCAAACCGATTAGTTTTTTCCCAAATTCTACGTTTTTAAATGGACCGCTGCAGCACCTCTAGTAAATGTTTTTTTTTTGTTCAGTTGTCTATTCAGAATCATGATCTCTATTTTAAACAAAAAACACGTAAAGATTTTTTTCAGTTTAAAATAGTTATAGAAATTTAGTTTTGTCGTTTTTACTGTTTTAAATGTCTATATAGTTTATTCATTTTATTTTATTTTATTTTTATTAGGTTAATTAAGTGTTTATTTTAATTGATGACAATCATTATAACGTGGAGCTTTATAGACCATTTTTAGTTTTCTGAGATGACAAGCGAGGCAGCACATTAGGTTTTGGAACACAGCTGATGTTAGATTATGAAACCCAGCATGGGATGACTTCATTGATGTACGATGTGTTTCAGAAGCAGAGCGGTCTGAAAGGAACACGTTCGCTGAGAGGCTGTCTGCGGTTGAGGCCATTGCCAATGCCATTTCAGTGGTATCCAGCAACAGCTCCGGGAACCGCACAGGGTCATCCAGCAGTCGAGGGTCAGTATTCAGATTCACTGGGATACAGAAAAGCATTTCACCAGAGAAGCATTAAAAAATAAAAATAAATAATAACTCTTAAATTTAACAAACTCAAAGATTTTTGGTGAAAATTAAGATTGGAGCCGAACCACATGGAAATGCATAAATTACAGTTGTTACACATTATATTACTTAATTACATAATATTTACTTTCATGCATTTGGCAGACACTTTTAACCATAGACGTTTTCTAACATTGCATTCAAGGAGGGTTTCAATGGGTCCTTAAAACCTTTAATTTAATCAAACTGAATTATTATTTTTTTACGGCCATGAGTCATATCTTAAACAGCATAACAAAAGTCTCAATTATCATTTTAAGAGGTCTTAAATTTGGGAATGGAAAAACAGGAATCACGATGTGTCCTAATATGTTTGTTTCGGCAACCTTATTATTGGCTTCCTTTTAAATACATTATTATCTTAACAGCAAATCAAATATCGATAGTTTGTATGTATTGGCATTTAAGCATAAATCAATTTCAATACCTATGTATTTTGAATAAAACATGTCCTAATTATTTTAAACTTTTGTGTTGCAACCTGTTCAAATAAATAAAAGAATCTTGAGATATTATTTTAAGATTGAATGGTTTTGCTCTTTATGGATATACAGTATTAATTTTATTTGTGCCTTAATTTTTTTTTAAGTCTTATACATTTTATCAGTTCATGTATTCACAGGGAATCAAACCGTTCGAGTTTTTATATTTGGTTGTTAATATTGTACAGTAATTTCACTTTTGATTTTATTCTCGTTTCTATAGCTTGCGTTTGAGAGAGATGATGAGGCGCTCCCTCCGCGCTGCTGGTTTGGGCCGCCACGAATCCGGCCCTTCCTCCAGCGACCACCAAGACCCGGTTTCACCCCCTATTGCGCCTCCCAGCTGGGTACCAGACCCTCCACCAATGGATCCTGGTGAGTTCTGCAGTTCTTGGGCCGTAACAGATATATTGCATGCATGCTATAGCCTGATGTCTTACAAAACCATTTTCTCCGCTAGATGGTGACATTGATTTCATCTTGGCCCCTGCAGTGGGCTCCCTTACCACTGCTTCCACAGGCACCAACCAGGGACCCAGCACTTCCACCATCCCAGGTACGTGAACCGGACTCCCATAGGACTCTACAGCAGTGGTTCTCAGCTGTTTTGCTCCAGGACCCAGATTTTACATTGTACATCAAGTGGTGACCCAATTAGACGGTGTTAAGGGCCGTTCACACCAAGAGAGATAACTATTACTATATTAGCATCCACACTAATGGATGGTACTGTTCTGCTTATAAGTGCGTTTGTCGTCTGCCACTTTGAATGCTTGAGGCTTTTAAAGCAGAATGGGTTCTGATTGGCTGTTAAAGTTTTTCATCTTTCAATAGCTGGATAAAATCATTCCGAAAGTGATTCCAGCTATATATATATATATATATATATATATTATAGTTGTGGGTGGGAATTTTAAAACTATCTATATCGTTATAGTTATTGTTGTGATCTGGCCTTTATTTTCGTGTCATTGATATAGTTTTTTTTTTTAATTTGTTGTTTGTGATTTATTTATTTAACTGAAATGAAATAAAATAAACATTATTTAAATAAATATATTTAAAGTACCAAAATGGTTTTAGATAACAATATTAACCCTTTATCTGAGATTTAGAATAGACCTGCAACCTGTTTTTGGGTCAAGATCCCTTCAGTTGAGAGCCACTGCTCTGTGCCATCATTTAAAGCTTTTTTTTTTTAGCAAGTTTTCAATCTTTCTTGTGTCTTCTAAAGGACCTTCATCTGAACCATCAGTAGTGGAGTCTAAAGACCGTAAGGCCAACGCTCACCTGATACTAAAGCTAATGTGTGACAGCGTCGTCCTGCGACCTCACTTAAGAGAGCTGCTCTCTGCCAAGTACGTCGACCTGCCGCAGCTCTAAATCATAGCCAATCTCCTTTTTAGCTGTCTTTGAGTGTTTGTATTGCTGTTGTTTGGTAGGGATGCTCGTGGAATGACCCCATTCATGTTGGCGGTGAGTGGGAGAGCTTACCCAGCAGCCATTACTGTTTTAGAAGCAGCACAAAAAATAGCCAAAGGTAAGTACATCGATGCAGTTCAACTAAATTAGATACCCGCTTCAAAACATTCAGAGACCTTTAGGATCTTGTGTTCTTGTGCAGGTGAACCGGGTCTTGGAGAGAAAGAGGATGCAGCGTCTGTGTTCATGGAGATGATCTGTCCTTCAGGCACCAATCCAGATGACTCTCCCCTCTACGTCCTGTGCTGTAACGACACCTGCAGCTTCACCTGGACTGGAGCAGAACACATCAACCAGGTACAGAAGCCACAGCCTTCAATGGACCCTTAACACAGACTGTGATTGAGTTATCAACATTAGAAATATAGTAAAGAATTTCATTAAAAAAAAAAAAAAAAAAACAGTCATATACATTTATAATGCTATACTCGTGTTATAGCACCTTGGCTGTAAATTTCAAAAAACAAACTCAGCTAAAATTTCACACCGTTTTCTCTTCTGACCAATGTAATCAATTTCTTGATTTTTTGATATTGGAGCAAATGGGAATACAAAAATTGCATTTGTTGCAGTTTCTGTTGATTGCTATAGACACAACTATGACTGCTGCTGAGAACCCTGGAAATGTGAAAAGGGTCAATGAGCAATGCCGAAATATTCCAAGCCACCAGTGTAATTAATCTAAATCAGTGGTTCTCAACTAGTGGATTGTGATAACATTAAAATACAGGTTATTTGCTGAAAGGATATACATGGTTTGTGTTTACCTGATGAGTTATGAATTACTGTCTGCTTAAACTCAATCATTGAAATTTAAGAAACGTTTAAAATGTATTTCCAAAGTGTATGGTATTCATAAATATATGAATGCATACTTTTTATGTATTTTTTTTTCATTTTATTTTTTCTACATTTTTTTTAAAAGATATTTTCAAATGTATTTTTTTACATTTAACAAATAGTTGAAGCATTGATCTTAATGACTTATAGAGTGGCACTGTGTGATTAACTGAACTTGTCTGTTTGCAGGATATCTTTGAGTGCAGAACTTGTGGCCTGCTGGAGTCACTGTGCTGCTGCACTGAATGCGCCAGGGTTTGCCACAAGGGTCATGACTGCAAGTGAGTGCAAAATTGACACTGATTTTCACCACATGCATCCTTCTGGAAGTAGGAAATTCTTGAATGCATTGCAACCAGTGTTATTGTCATCTAAAATGTATAATAATACTAATTTGTTACATTTATATTGTGCTTTTTTCGGCACTCAAAACGCTGATGCGAAGGCAGCCAAATTGTGCCAAATTCCCCCCCACTCACCAGCTATCTATTAAAAATAGTTAAAAAATAAAAAAAATAAAATGAGAAATATGGCCTTGGCAACAAACTGAAATAAAATGAGTTGAAGTACTAAAACTGAAATAAATATAAAAAACAAATAAATATTTAAAGCTAAAAATGCATATTTAAAAATGGAAACTAATATTTTTAGTTTCTAAAAAGTTTTAGTTTTAGTAACTAAAAATACTGAAGCATCTAGAAGGATAGTTTAATCTAAATAAATAGATTATTGAACTGGACTATTTTTTATGGTTGTCATAATGAGTATTGCGTTTTTAGCTTAGCATCATGTTGACACCAATTTAATCAAATGAGTTGCTGCTAATGTAAAGTTTTCTTTAACCCTCTAGAAGACAGCAACTTAGTTCGCTAGGCTTTAAAACAGTAATTCATGCTCCTTGTTTCTTCTCCAGACTGAAGAGAACGTCTCCCACCGCATACTGTGACTGCTGGGAGAAGTGTAAATGCAAGACTCTTATCGCGGGACAGAAAGCAGCTCGTTTGGATCTGCTCTACAGACTGCTGACCACCACTAATCTGGTTACCACTCCTAACAGCAGGTATGTTCACTAGGATATATTGCGCTATATGGTGTTTAAAAAAGGAAAAAGACTTTTTTAAATTTTTAGATTCCTGGCCCAACTTTCTGTTGCCAAACCATTTTATGGGGTCGTTGGGGCAACATGACATGTTACCCATTCTGCGTCATGAACTCTTTTTCCCTCTCTGTTTGTGTCTGATAGGGGGGAGCACATTTTGCTGTTTCTGGTGCAGACTGTTGCAAGGCAAAGTGTTGAACACTGCCAGTACCGACCACCTCGCATCCGAGAGGACAGGAACCGGAAGGCTGCCAGCGCTGAAGGTGTGTCTTTGAGTAGGGAAGTGACCTGGGGCTGGATTGACAAAAGTCATCTTAAAGTCGTCAAGTCAAATTTATTTAGGGCCTGTTTACACCTGGTCACTTCATGTGTTTTTACTGATCGGATAGCTATCTGATTTGATAAAACGGTTCCATTTACACTTGGCCACATAAATGTGTCTCCGCAAAACTGATATATATCCGGTTTTCAATTCCCACACTATATGCAAATTTAACGGAGTTCACGTCAACGAAAGCAACAGATATGAGCTGCATTTTATTTATCATCAGCTAATTTCAAGATCAAAGACCGCAATAGGAGAAAGAGCGGCATCAGCACTGGTAAGATATAATTTAGTCTCACTACTTTTGATAAAGATGATTGTGTGTTGAGCGTCTGCGAGTTTGCATGTCGGCTTGCTGAAGAGATACTCAGCTACTCATCTGCGTCTATGCACGTTTCAGTAGCTCTATCAAATCTGGCTATAACGTCATATAGCCTATACACGCTCACTCGTTTTATTTATTAATTTTTTACATTTTTGGAGGAGTAGAATTTACATATGTGGTTTCAACAACCAGATGCATTTACAAATTTGGAATGAGTCTCAAACCAACTCCTGTAGTGGTTCGAGTGATTGAATTTAAATCCGTCTCGAAAGCGTTTCGCAGGGCATTTACACCTGGTCTTTTCACGATCGGATAGCTATCCGATCAAAGAAATCCATGAAGGAACTAGGTGTAAACAGGGCCCTTATATGGTACTTTTCACAATACACATTGTTTCAAAGCAGCTTTACAGGAAATCATGATGTTATTGTTTATAATGTGTTAATATCTTCATTCCTTAGTCACATTTAGCAGATTAGAGCTGGGTGATCATAGTTTAGATTAAGGAACATTCTTATAAAGTTCTTGGATTTAATCTTAAGTGCATTTTTTTAAAATTAATTCTTAATGTCGCAAATATTTTCTTTAGAACATCTTATTTTTCTTAGTAAAGAAAAGTGATAGGCTTTGGGGTTATCATAATTGTATGGCGGTTCTTAACAAAGACAATGATCAACTCAATGGAAAAACACTTCAAAGGTCATATTTTTGGGCTGCTTGCAGATTAATGCAATCATAAGCACGCACACTATTATTTGTCATGACTGACTTGATGGGTGTTTAGCTCTCAGCGTCGTATTTTTAAATGCACCAATAATTTTACTTTTAAAGAGTCTCAAGATGGAGCGATTTTTGCAGTGTCTTTTTACGTTCTTTCTAGTGTGAATGCGTCTTTTGTCTGTGTGGGCGCTTCTGGAGTGATCGCGTCCGCGCCTCATTTGTGCTGAATGTTGCCGAAAATTGTCATAATTATCAAATTAAAAGCAAGGTCTCCAATTGGGTTAGTACTGAATTTTGAAGTCAGCAGTCATGCGTAATCATGACCAATAATTTTTTACATTATAGATCACTGTAGTCACTTCAGAGTAAATATGTACAGGGGTTGGACAATGAAACTGAAACGCTGGCCCATGTATTGTTGGTGGCCAATCTCCATTTGTTGGCGTGCGTTTCGCTGGCTTATCTGTGACCAGGACAGGAAGTCTTTGTTGCGTATCGAGAGCTCTGGTATCCAGGGTAATGTCGGCATACACCACAGAGGACGAACAACGTCCAACAGGAGTAACTGTCCATGCAAGAGGAAGCTGTCTGAAAGGGATGTCCTAGTACTAACCTGGATTGTATCCAAAAAACATAAAACCACAGCTGCCCAACTCACTGCAGAATTAAATGCACCTCGACTCTCCTGTTTCCACCAAAACTTCGACATGAGCACCAGAGTCAATGTTCAGGGTCGGGCTGCTATAGCCAAACCTTTGGTCACTTGTGCCAAATGTCGGTTTCATTGGTGCCAACAGTGCAAATCTTTGGCTGTGGACAATGTGAGAAACGTATTGTTCTCCGAACCCACCGTCACTGTCTTTCCCACATCCGGAGGAGCGAGTCAGAAAATGTTTTCAGAAAACGCCCTACACCATACTAATAAATTGTGTTCTAAAACCAGATGTTTCAGTTTCATTGTCCAACTCCTGCATATGTAGTGTCATGTTGTAATGCGAAATTACACAATTAATTAGAAACAACCCACTAAATTCATTAAACATCTTGCCTTTCAGGATTTAAGACCTAGATTTTATCCTAACTTTAATAAATTATTTACAATGATTTTTAGAATTTGAATTATTCTTAACTTTTCCCACAGTGCATGAAAATAAAGAAATGCTCTCAAGATACTTTCTCAACTTTTCAAGTGTTTCTTAACATGTCTTTGGTTTTGTTATGCACGATTCGATAAGAAGGTTTTGTTGTCTTGTTTTTTTTTTAATGCGTCTCTCTCTTTCAGACTCTGATATGCCGGATCATGACCTGGAGCCTCCACGCTTTGCCCAGCTGGCTCTAGAGCGCGTGTTGCAGGACTGGAATGCGCTGAAGTCCATGATAATGTTTGGCTCTCAGGAAAACAAAGACCCGTAAGTAGAACATTTTAACTATCACCGCAGGCAAATTTAATTGGGCCCATTCACCTTTCATGACTTTTTTCTCTTTTTTTGCTGTTGTATCATTCTAGCCTAAGCGCCAGCAGCAGAATCGCTCACCTTTTACCAGAGGAGCAGATGTACCTGAACCAGCAGAGCGGCACCATCAGGCTGGACTGTTTTACACACTGCCTCATTGTCAAGTGTGCACCAGATATCACTGTGAGTGGAAGAAACAGCTGTTGTTCTTTCCATACCTGGAAAAGTCTCTTGTATATTTTTGAAGTTATGCTCTGCTCTAGTCAAGTCACCTTTTATTTATAAAGGGCTTTTTACAATTTAGATTTTAAAAGCAGCTTCACCGTAATAAACAGAAAATTACAATAAATGATTTAAACTTCCTCAAATATGAGTCATTCTGCTGTAAAGAAACTCTGCAGAAGACAATAGTGTCATTATTCAGCTCAAGGTCAGTTCAGTGTTGAATCAGTTCAATATCTGTCAATGTTGTAAAGTTTGTCAATTATGAAACTAAAATATTTCATCAGCTATTATGTTGAGTAAAGGCCAGTTCACACCAAGGACAATAACTATAACCAGTGTTTCCGCTACATTCATTCATCCATGGCTGGCTGCCACACCAAAAATCATCCCGCCACGGCTGCAGCTTCTCAGTGAGGGCCGATATTGTGCATACTATTGTGTTATTGTTAAAGGACAAGTTCGGTATTTTACACTTAAAGCCCTGGTTTAAGATCGTTTCTGATGAAATAGACCGGTTAAGATTGAAATTTGGACACATGCTGTTGTCCCGAGAAATCTCGGTTTCTGTGGTTGCACCGCCCCCCCCCCCCCCCCACCTCCACAATGGTTGCATAGGTGCACTGGAACAATCCTTCATAAAGAGCATTAAACTTTAGTTTACAAAGACGTGAAACTCACCGAGTGGTCTGGGGTGTTCACTGATATGCTCACACAAAAATCGCTGCAAAAGATGCTTTCCAACAGGTTTTATCGTAGTTTTTGTCCAACTCCATTGACTTTGACAAAAACTACGATAAAACCTGTTGCATCTTTTGCAGCGATTTTTGTGTGAGCATATCAGTGAACACCCCAGACCACTCGGTGAGTTTCACGGTGAGTCTTTCTAAACTAAAGTTTAATGCTCTTTATGAAGGATTGTTCCAGTGCACCTATCTTAACCGTTCTATTTCATCAGAAACGATCTTAAAACAGGGCTTTAAGTGTAAAATACCGAACTTGTCCTTTAAGCCCCACTAAAGGCATAAAAAAACATTGTAAAGCACCATAAAGTTTTCACACTATATTCCAAGACTTCTAAGGTCATTCAATAGCATAATGTGAGGTAAAAATGAATATTTAAGTCGTTAAGTTAAAGTTAATGGAAACTCATCTCTCCTCAGTCATTCTCCATTCAGCATTCAAACAGCGCTTTCGGTTACGACAGTAACACGATGACACTCTCTTCAAGATCAATGTTCCCATTATTATACTTTATTTGTAAAGGTATGCATAAAATGACTTTATTGTGCTTTCTAAATCATATTCCTTTCTCCCGGGTGTCTGTTAGATTACAGCACTGGAGTAGAGAGCGCTATGAATTGTTCTTCACGCTCACTGTAACTGAAATTTAAAGCTGTTAATAGAAAAGGCTTAATAAACTGTTGCATAGATGGAATACACTAAGCATAGATAGATCTAATCTCTTCGCTTTGAACTTTTCAATGCGAAGCGCTGCACGCGGTGATTTCACGTTGCTTCAAGTGCATCATTCTGCACACGGGACTCGCATAATCGCTTTGCTGCTCTTATTGGAGCCTTTCATATTATAATACTTAGGGGAGGTTTAAACACCTGGGGCAAGGGGGCGTGGCCTATGGGAATATCACTCATGAGCCACGTCCTCTCCCCCTGGGGAAATGGGCCTGCCACCACAGCTGGGAAAAATCCTAGAGGAAACTGTATAACTATAATGAAAATGAAAAAGATATAGTTCTAAAAATCATTCTAAATATAAAAGAAAAGCAAGAGTCCACACCACAATTAACTATAAATGCACAGAGAAATGATACCATTGGTATTACTTTTTTAGAAAGAGCTCAAGCATTTAAAGTGGCAGGTGACAAAACTGCAGCAAACGCTTATATCAAACAAAGATGTTGTTCTAATATTGTTATTGTTGTAGTCATCTTATCATTCTTGCTGTAAATGTGCCTTAAATCTTTTCAGGCCATAGCGATGCATGACTAGTAGCGAGCGATTATTATTTTATTTCTTTTTTTCTTTCTTTTTTTTTCTCTTCTTCATTAAATCATACCTTTTTGAGTTTTCACAAACTGATCCGAATTATTTATTAGAGTAATGGAAAGGTCATGGAAAAATTGTGGGAACCTTTTCATGATGATGCATGTTTCTTGTGCCATATTCAGTGCTAACTTTCCTCTTTTGTTGTTCCCCAGTTTATTGACACTCTGTTAGGGACCCTGGTGAAGGAGCTACAGAATAAATACACCCCCGGCCGCAGGGAGGAGGCCATCAATGTCACACGGAGGTTCTTGCGCTCTGTGGCCCGAGTGTTTGTCATCCTCAGTGTGGAGATGGCATCCTCCAAGAAGAAAAAGTATGACTTATTTACTCAACTTTGCTTTGTACTGTAGTCAGTCACACTGATGAGAATTGAAAAGGGAGTTTATAAAATATTGACTTTTAAAAGCATTTTATCTGATGACCTCATCTTGAAAGTCAGTCGTTCACGCTTGTTGATTTTTTTTTAACCCTATAAAACTTACTGTATTATATTTGACACACAAATTTCTAGGGGTGGGAATCTCTAGGCACCTCACGATTCGATTCGATTACGATTCAGAGGGCTGCGATTCGATGCTAAATCGATTATCAGAATCTTTTTTTTGTGTGTGTGTGACTATAAATACTTTGCTTTAAAAGTAGAAAGTAATGACCCATAAAGAATTAACGTACAATATATTTTATTAACATTGCAAAGAACCAACAGGAAAATACATGTGTGTCTGAACTAGCAGCAGCATATTTGTAGTAAATTAATAATATAACAACGACCGGTAACGTTACAGCCGAGTGTTTTTCCTCCTCTGGCTGGAAACGTGTCATATGGCTTCTCATATGTGTCTTGTTTCCGAAATATTTTAGTTTTACTCTACAAAGCTTACAACTAGTGTGGCTCTTGTCCAGCTCCTTTCCCCCTTCAACGTCAGAAGCCAAAATATTTCCACACGTCAGCTTTTAACGAGGAGGGTGTTTGGATTTGGCGCTCAGCCATCGCGTCCGCGTCTGTTACGTGCACGCCACAGACGGTCCGGCCACTGCACTTCCGCGCTTCAGAGTTCCGTCTTTCGCGTTCCGTCAATATTACGTTATTATAAATATATATCTAATTTTTTTTTTTTTTTTTTGAAAATCGATTTTTGACAATTGTGAATCGATTCAGAATCGTCCACGTCCGCATCGCGATGCATCTAAGAATCGATTTTTTCCCCCACCCCTACAAATTTCTAAGGGCACTAAATGAACATTATGATCTCAACATTGCTGGTAAAATTCAGGGCAGCAGGAATATTAGACTTCTGTCACTTTAAGAATGGCACGGATCCAATATACTCGTTCACAAGCCTTTTATTTCTCAGTATGAATGTAAATAGCTATGTTTACAAGGATACTCGTCAAGACGGCCATTTTGATATTATTTTGTGTGAATTAGAAGTGAAAGACACCTCCTGGCAGTCCTTATTGTCGAGCCCTGCTGTATTTAATTTTACCCAAAGAAAAACGTTTGATTATGCAACACAACAGACATTATATAGCTCTTGTGCCTTTATGCAGTTAATGAATAAACCATCGGTTTGTTACAATCTGCCTTTTTCATGCTATAGCCTTTCTAAACAATAATCACACTGTTCACATTCTCTCCCCTGTGTATTTCCTTCAGCAACTTCATCCCTCAGCCCATCGGGAAGTGCAGGCGTGTTTTCCAGGCGCTGTTGCCGTATGCAGTGGAAGAGCTCTGTAATGTGGCAGAGTCCCTGATTGTGCCGGTGCGCATGGGTATCGCTCGCCCTACAGCGCCCTTTACTCTGGCCAGTACCAGCATTGATGCTGTGCAGGGCAGTGAGGAGCTCTTCTCTGTTGAGCCGCTGCCACCACGGCCCTCCCCGGATCAGTCCAGCAGGTGGGTGATGCTTTAGTCTAAAGGCTTTATAAGCCTTTAATTAATACATTAATAATTTTAATAAGCTTGGCTATATATATATATATATATATATATATATATATATATATATATATATATTGTTTATATATTAAATGTATACATATAATTTTTTTTCCAAGATTATCCATATACGTCATTTTAATATCTGAATATCAAATATGATACTACATGCTTTTTTGAGTAATGTTTGTTTGTACATCTCTCAATCATCATTGTATTGCATTGAATTATATTTTTTGCCCCCCACAATTAACTTTTTTGGGTGGACTATTTAATTGGGTTTACTCTGATGCTATTGCAGTGAAATAAAAATTGTCATAATTTACTCGCATGTCATTCCAAACCTGTATGGCTTTCTTCTATAAAACACACAATAAAAATATTTTAGTTGGTAACTAAACTGTTTTGGTTCCCATTGACTTCTATTTTGTTGTATGTCCATACAATGTAAGTCAATGGGAACTGAAACTGTTTGGGTATCAACACTCTTCAAAATATCTTTTGTTTTCAGCAGAAGATAGAAATGCATACAGGTTTGGAATGACATGCGTAAATGGTGACAGAATTAATTTTTGGTCGGACTATTCCATTAAATTTACACTGATGCTTTTGCAAAGTATTCTAATGTCTCTGAATCAAGTTGTCGTTAATGCTGATGGTTTCTTGTGCTACTCAGCTCCAGTCAATCAGCCTCTTCGTACATCATCAGGAACCCTCAGCCCCGCCGCAGCAGCCAGTCCCAGACGGCCCGCGGACGTGACGAGGAGCAGGATGATATTGTTTCTGCTGATGTAGAAGAGGTGCGGTGCCCTACACTTGCATGTAGCACAACTATGCCAAATATTGGCCATTTTATTACACTGGCCAATATGTTGGTTGGTTTGTTGGTTTGCCTTAAAGTCGGCTTGAAACAGATGTTGCAATCATCTTTTTTCCCTATTGTAATTTATATCCAAGTAAAACTGCGTCTGGAATAAGAACAAATGTAGGGCGGGACTTGATTTTATCCATGGGGAATTGATTGGATGGTTGTGGTTTGCTGTTGTTCAGTCTCATGTGAGTGACAGATTGCACCGCCCTTCCCAAAGTAAACATGTCATTAGAGAACAAATGTCACTCAAGAGGGAGGGGGAAGTTATTTTGATTAAAGATTATGAGGCACATGAATTTTAAGAAAGTGCACTGATAAATGATTAATAATAAATACTGTAATATTCCATAACAAAATAAACAAAATTACAAAACAATAAAAAAATTTCATGGTGACTTTAACCTCGTTCTCTAAATGCTACCTGGCTGTTCACCTGTTCAGGTAGAGGTGGTGGAGGGAGTTGCAGGAGAGGAGGATCACCATGATGACCAGGAGGAGCAGGGGGAGGAGAACGCAGAGGCCGAAGGACAGCATGATGAGCATGATGAAGATGGTAAACACAAATCACAGAGATGTTTTAATTCATACCGTATAAATATCATCATAAAACGCTGAATCCAAAAAAAAATACTATTTCTTGGGGTCCTAAATTAAAAGATTGTAAACCAAACACAGAAAACTGTTTATTTTAATTTTTGAAGTCTAACAAACATGTGGAATGCCTTTCCTTTTCCAATAGTATAAAATGAATATTGTGATGAGGTTTATTTTGCTACGACAACAATGTGGACAGATGGATGTACATCATCTTGCTTATTACATGGCTATTTGCCACACAAGTAAATAATTAGACACAAAATATTTAGTATAAATATTGAATTGGCTATCTACAAATTCTCGGATAAGTGTCATTATACAGTGTTTCCAACGGATATTGTAATTGACCTCAAAATGTCGTAATAGACCAATCAGTTGAGCATTTTAGAGAGCCGTGTAATAAATAATGATATCGAATATGAAAAAAAAATCAGGATAATATTTCCCCCAGCCCTACATGTTGCTCTGCTTATATACATTTATATCAACAAAACCATGTGTTAGAAACACTGGCGCTGCTTGTTGTCTTTGTCTAGAAGCCAACAATTTCTTCTGTAAATGAGGCTTAAAGATGAACTGAACTGAAATTTTAAAAACGGTGATATAACAGATCTATTTTATTTATTATCATTGGTACAATTATTAAATTGGCAGAATTTGTTAAAAGGGATAAAACTGTACGTTGAAAATGTTGTTTTTGTTACACGGGCGCCGCCATGTTGGATTTCAACATTCGGCTACGTCACTGGCATGGTAGGCTACTCCGTTGCCAACCAACACCAGCAGAGCAGCCATAGCATGTAAATAGTCTGAGGCTAGCTGACATGGCTGGGGAAACAGAAACCAACCGGTCTAGGGGGGGTTCATACTGTATTGCCCCTGGCTGTAGTAATGAATTGTATAGGGCTAAGGCAGCTGGGGTTACGATACATTTTCACAGGCTACCTTTGACAAGGAAACCAGCCCTCAAGTCAAGGCTAGCTGCCTTAAAACTGTCTAGCCCTCCGACAGCCCCTGGATTTCGAGTCTGTAGTGAGCATTTTTTAGTGACAGACTATTTAGTAGGCCTGTCGCGATAGTCAATAAATAAATTAATCGCACGATAAAAAAAATTAGCTCGATAATTTTTCCGGCCGCGATTATTTCCATTTGCATGCTTGTTTGTTTTCCTCGTCTCTCTCTCTCTCTCTCTCTCTCTCTAGCAAAGAGACTGGATGACAACTCTCGGTTCCTTAGCGTAGGAAGAGTGAACTAGAGCTTATTCTGCCCGAGCGATATTTCCCGACACTATCCTTGAGACGTGCACTCCCAACGCAATAGAGTGCTGCGCGGCACTACATCTGATGGCCGAGACTCCGAGTGCGAGCGCGGGCGGTTATGCACTCACTCTGTGTGTGCGGGTTATAAATAAAACGATTCGCGGGGCTCCCGCAAACTAGAAATATCTATTAATAAAAAATAATAGATTTTTATTCATCTGTTGCAGAAAAGCAACAAGAACAACTAAAACAAAATAGAAACGATTTACAAGCCAGAGTTTCTACTCATAACATTCTATTCATAACAACGCTTTAACATCGCGTTGAGTGATGTAGCCAATCACAGTTATATGTGTTGCTTATGATCGGCTATTGCGTTCAAGAAATCATTTAAGATGGACTGCCTTTTTGGTATTTATTCAAGTGCATTTTTTGTAACAGAGCCTGTTGTTCTCTGCAACAGATTGACTCCGGTGCAGTGTCCATGCTCCGGCAGCTCACACACCCACACCAGTCACTTTGCCCCAAACGATCCTGTGCTGTATGTGGAGCCTGAAACTGATCCTCCATGTGGTGGTGGTAGTCAGAAACTACTGGACTGTCCCTCACAGGTTCAAATGCGTAACCCATGCCGTTAAAAGTGCTCATTTTCGTCTGTGTATTAGGACCTGCAGCTGTTGCCTATGCACCTTTGCGTGTCCTACCATGCCAGTGACGTCATCGAAACTGCCAGCGTAACAAGCGCAATTTTTGTGTTGCTTAAAGCTATATTGATATTTTTAATTAATTTTTAGTGTAATTTAGTTTTAATTGTCACAAACAACACGTTATCAACGTCGATTTTTTTTCAGTTCAGTTCATCTTTAAGTCACAATCTTTTTCTTGCAGGCAGTGACATGGAGCTGGATTTGTTGGCTGCTGCTGAGACTGAGAGTGACAGTGAGAGTAACCATAGCAACCAGGACAACGCAAGTGGACGCAGAAGCGTTGTGACTGCCGCTACCGCTGGATCTGAAGCAGGTGCTTCAATTTGACAAAAAAATTTATGCAATTATGCCTCAAAATGGTCCCTTCTTTTTTTCCTTTCAACTAACCTTCCACATAACCTTCTGAGCGTGCAGTAGGCTATAATGGCTTCAGATGAGATGCTTTAAATGCATTTTGTTTTAATTTGTCCGTGTGGCACCTGTAGAATTACGTTTAATGAGTTTGAACAGTCTATTTTTCTTTTTATATCACTTCAGATGGCGTTGCTTATCTACTTTAGGCAGAAATTACAGACCAACTAGTTAGTGGTATAGCACACTCTCATTAGCATTTTCTTTTTAAAGGGAACAATGTACATTAATATATATATTTTTTATGTACCCGAGTTAGCCTATGCATCTAGTGTCACAACAACAATTGCAATAATGACTTTTCAAATCCTTTTTCAATTAGTCAAGCAAACATGTGGCCCTGCCCAAAATACATGCTATTGGTTGAGCAAATGTTATGTCAGGCCCAGATGGGCTGCTCAAACCAATTGCATTATTCTGTTTGATGCCACTCTGGTGTGGAAAATAAATAAATCACTTTTAAACCATAATGTAAAATAAATTGGGCTAGATAAAAAGTGGCATGTATTTAATAATATCTGTGATGCTGACTTTAGCATAACCTCCCACACTGAGAAATGTCCTGTCTTTTTCCTGAAGGTGCTAGCAGCGTTCCTGCTTTCTTCTCCGAGGACGACTCTCAGTCGAATGACTCTAGTGACTCGGACAGCAGCAGCAGTCAGAGTGACGATGTGGATCAGGAGACTTTCCTGTTGGATGAGCCTCTGGAGAGGACAACGGGCTCAGCACATGCCAACAGTGCGGCCCAGGCACCTCGGTCCATGCAGTGGGCTGTTCGCACTACACCCAACCAGCGCTCCGCTGGCGGCGCCCCATCCAGCTCATCCGCACCGGCTGGTTAGTATCTCCCACCATATTAAAATTGCGTTGTTGAGAGGAAGAAAAAAAAACAGTGTCACATTTTATTAAATATAATGAAAAAATGGTAAATAAAATGAAATGTTTACTGACATTTAACAATAAGGTTTCATTTGGTTACATTAATTAACTGCAATAAACTAACCATGAACAATAGTTCTACAGCATTTATTTATTATTAGTAATGTTCATTCATTATTATTACTAATGTCATTTTTTTTTTATATTTACTAATACATTATAATAATCAAAATATTTATTTCTTAACATTAGTTGATGTACTAACATGATCAAGTTTTTTCTTACTAAAGATTAATAAATGCTTTAAAAATAAATTGTTCATTGTTAGTGCATGTCATCTAATGCCTTAACTAATGTTAACAAATGAGACCTTGTATGTTTGTTATCACAAATATTATAAACAAGATAAATAAGTTGCACCATATAAGTTGCACATCCTGTGACGTTGACACGAAGACTAATTCAATCCTGGAAGTTGAAAAATGGCGCCAAAAAAACTAAACTAGTTTTCTCCTAAAATTAAAACTAATGGATGGAAACATTTGTCTTGTATCATGTTCAACACATTTAGTTTAGGGTTTAATTGTAACATTCCAAAGCGACTTGAATAATGCAATGTTCAGATTTAAAAAAAAAAAAAAAAGCTGCTTGTAGGGGTGTGACGGTTATTATCTAACCGTGAGACCGACGGTTATAGTTGAACACCGTAATTAGAACTCTATAACCGCCAAATCCGTGCTATTAAAATATTTTTTCCAAACATTTTTTTATCATAGAGAATGTTTAAATACTGATATCATCTTACGAGGGAAACTGAGGCGGAGTCAGTGGTGCTTTGGAGGCTGAGTGCTGGAGATGATTCGGGAGAGGTCTGTGCCCCTTTACCGATCAGAGCGCGCGCTGACACGGAGTAAACCCTTGTTTATACTCGACGCGTCCGCACGAGCGCGAAGGTGCGCGCGGCAAAAATGCACGGCTTTTTTTGTAACCGCGCGCGCGCGACGCCACATCCGAGGATGAACGACTTAAAGCCGAATCTGCCCGAGCATGTACGTCTCACCACACCGGCACGCAGTTTGCGCGTCTAAATTGCAAAGTTCATTGCAAAGTTTTTTTGTTAAGGTTTTGTTTACTGTGTGTTATTTATTTAAAACAAAGCACGTTTATTGCAAGGTTTTTTTTTTTTTTTTTTTTTTAAAGGATTTGTTTACTGTGTGTGATTCATTTAATGGAAAGCACATTCACTTCTAGTTGTCTTGCTGTTCAGTAAAAGTGTCAGTGTCTGCTTGTTTATTCAAACTAAGTTGTCCTATAACACAGCGGTCCCCAACCTTTTTTGCGCCACGGACCGGTTTAATGTCAGACAATATTTTCACGGACCGGCCTTTAAGGTGCTCCTAAAAACGCGTAGAAAACGCTAGGCTCGAGGTTGCACTCCGGCCTCCGTTGCTGAGCAACCTTTAGCTGCGCTCTCCGTTACAGCAAGGAAATTTCAGCAATGGATTTCCACCACCGAAAAACCCTTGCTGTAACTGTTACCAGATTTATTTACTAAGAAGAGTAAAAAAAAAAACGCTGCAGTGTTTGGGTGCAAGACCGTGCAACCGATACTACAAAAACGCAAAAACCATGGGGAATTTCACCAGCTGATTCAGGAGCTCCGCCTGGACAATGGGAGGTTCAAAGCCTATTTCAGAGTGGACAAGGACCAGTGTGATTATATTTTAAGAAAAGTTGGCCCAAGCATCAGTAAACGGAGCTTCTGCCGTGATTTTTCTGAGGTTAGACTATAACTGAAGTGGTCATAAAACACCAGAAATAGCAAACACATACACATTTATATATAGAATATAGAACAATTCTGTATAAACAATGATGGATTTAACAAGGAATCAGTTGTGAGCATTAATATTTTTAGTAAAAATATTTGTTACTAGTAACTAGTGCAGCAGTTTACAGTGTGGAAGATGATTGGTTGGTTCTTGTCACGTGACCTACAGTGCGCTTGCGGCATTCTGAAAAGTTGAGATGTTTTTATCTCAATGCAGCGCGGACGCGCTTGGAAAAAACGGGCGCGTCGCTTCAATTATGAGCGTGCATACCGCGCGCCTACATTTGAAATAACAAACTTGAGCGCGCAAAAGACACGATATGTGAACAGGTAAATGTGTGAATAAATAAAACGGAAATAAGTTATTTATTCTTTCTGTGCGGCCCGGTACCAAATGACCCACGGACCGGTACCGGTCCGCGGCCCGGGGGTTGGGGACCCCTGCTATAACAGACGAACAGTTATTACAAACCCCCCCCCGTCCCCCGTCTCATTTGACTCGCATCATAACCGTCATCACCAATTCTGAAACCGGCACACCCCTAGCTGCTTGTATTCCAGAATTTATGGTAAGTAATTCAATGTTACTGACAATATTTCTAATGCATCTTCCAGCGAGCTCCACTGGCCTCATCTACATCGACCCTTCAAACCTGCGACGAAGCAGCGCCATCAGCACCAGCGCAGCAGCCGCCGCCGCAGCCCTGGAGGCCAGTAACTCCAGCAGTTACCTGACATCCGCCAGCAGCCTAGCTCGAGCTTACAGCATCGTCATCCGGCAGATCTCAGACCTCATGAGCCTCATACCCAAATACAACCACCTGGTCTACTCGCAGTACCCCGCTGCCGTCAAACTCACCTATCAGGACGCTGTCAATCTGCAGGTGAGTCGTTCGATCTTTACCCGAGCAAACTCGGATTGCAACTAAGGAAAAGTATAACAGGACTTTGTTTTTCAGAACTTTGTGGAGGATAAGTTGATCCCCACCTGGAACTGGATGGTGTCGATCATGGATTCCACTGAAGCGCAGCTGCGGTACGGCTCAGCTCTGTCATCAGCCGGGGATCCTGGTCACCCCAGCCACCCGCTGCACGCTTCACAACACACAGGCCGCAGGGAGCGCATGACCGCACGAGAGGAGGCCAGTCTCCGTACACTTGAAGGTCGAAGGTAAGACCCATGGGCAGTTAAAATTTAATTATTTCTGTCAATCACCGTGAAGTGAAAATTCACCCATCTATTTTCTGTGGGTCTCTCGTCAAAAGCCCATTTTGCAGAATATAATCTGTGACCAACCTTTATTATTCATACATGTTTTGTTCATCATCTTCACAAATGAACACTGCTTTTATGAATTTTGAAGCCTAAATACAATTAGCAGTAGTAAAAAGCTAAATGTGGGCTGTAAACAAACTACATTAGTCATGACTTCAACATCACCATTACTAAGCCTCAGACAACTTTTAAAATCTGATAGTTTGAGTCAGAATAGTTTGCAAGAGCATGATTTTAAACAAGAGGCTGTAAAAGCGACTAGTGAGTAGATGAGCTTACCTGTTCCGCTTGATGACGTTTAATGTCCCCCAAAAACATCTGTAGCCCTATTTAGCCACTTCTTTGCAACCACCATTTTCAAGATGCGTAAAAGCTTTTAAAAAAATCACATGTTGTAGAATTAAACATGAATTGGGGGTGTGACGAGATCTCGTGCCACGAGATCTCGCGAGACTAAAACATGACGAGATTTCTCGTCGAGTGAAAAGCTGTCTCGCGATATCGCCAAGCCATGACTGAGCGTGAGGGTGAGATTACCATAGAATATTCCACCGCTACACTCATGCATGCATCCGTCTCCCAATACCCATCTCTGGACTGTTTATTTGCGGCTATGGTCTCAGTTTGCACTTCGAATATATTGAGAGAGTAGCCTACTAATGTCTTAAGGACAACAGACAAGGGAGGCTCCGTTTCTGAACTTATAATCGGAACGCAAGAACAGAACTGTAGAAACAAACACACCAGCCTCGTTTCTCTCTACCCGGCCTTTTCCGAACTCACGCATTAACCCTATAACTGCCGGTGCAAAATAAAACAGCAATTTGAAAACAATTATAAAGAGTCTGTGTGCTAACTTTGATTATGGTTGCACTTGCAATTATTGTTTGCGCTTCATAAGACTTCAAGGAGTTCAGTTAGGAGGTCACACAAACACAGCCTCAATCAGAAATCCGCTCTTAAATGTACAGTAAGGGCTGAAGAGACTAATGTGAAATCATAGAGAAAAGCCAGTCAATAAAAACCTTTTACAGTGCTTGTATATTGTTTTCTTTCAATGCATTTGATAATTCATACTCATAATGCATGTCATTTCAGGTCTACTTTATAAGATTATTAGTTAAACATTGCAAAATGCACCTGCATACTATTTTTCCAGTCATGAATTTTGTCATTGAGGATTTCTGAAAAATTGTGCAAAAATCTCGTCTCGTTCTCGTGAACCCAATCTCGTGTCTCCTCTCGTCTCGTGAGATAAGCGTCTCGTCACACCCCTAACATGAATATATTTTGAGGTTGTGTTCACCACAGACCTTATTTCAGGCATTTAACAAAAAACACAGTCTTCAGGTGGGAAATCCTAAGTCGTTTCTGGGCTTTGGCCTGCAAAACTGTAATCCCTGCAGCTCTCTATTGTCATTGTAAAATTTCATACTTTGTGCTTCAGGCGCGCCGCAACACTTTTGACTGCTCGTCAGGGGATGATGTCAGCACGAGGAGACTTCCTGAACTACGCCCTGTCTCTGATGCGTTCCCATAATGACGAGCATTCAGACGTCCTGCCTGTGCTGGACGTGTGTTCGCTCAAACACGTGGCCTACGTCTTCCAGGCCCTCATCTACTGGATTAAAGCCATGAATCTGCAGACGACACTCGACACCACTCAGATTGACAGGAAGAGGTCATCTATCCATTTTACAATTTTTGTAGTTATATTTATTTTGGATGATTATAGCTTAAAGTAATCTTTTTTCTTTCTTTTTTTTTTTTTTTGCTTTGATCTGGTTTAAAAGGGTTCACTATGGATTGCGATTGTCGACTTGTCCAACAACTGACTAGTGAAACTTGCTTATTTATCTGAAAAACATTTTTATGTAATTTTTTTAGATTTTATGTGTCCAAGTCATCAGTATTAGAGATGTTGTTGCCCAGCCCTAGTGTGAGCTGTTGTTGTGAGATTACTAAATGCCTTTTTTTCATCCGACTTCAGGAATCGTGAACTGCTTGAACTCGGCCTGGACAATGAGGACTCTGAACACGAGAATGATGAGGACACCAATCAGAGTGAGTTCAGCATGAAAATGTGTTAAAGCTGTTGACATGTTAATTATATTCTGCGCTGGTTTCCTGCTGTCAAATCCAACCTCTTTGTTACTCTTGACTGCGCAGGCTCCACCCTGCAGGATAAGGATGAGGAGCCAGTGCCTGCTGAGACCGGACAGCACCATCCGTTTTTCCGCCGCTCTGACTCCATGACCTTCCTAGGATGCATCCCTCCTAATCCTTTTGAAGTACCTCTCGCTGAGGCCATTCCTCTGGCTGACCAGCCACATCTCCTGCAGGTCAGTGCTGCCCTGTACCTGCATTTCACTTCTTCTATTAGAGGTGATTTGTGATGTCAGTGCAGATGGTTGAGTTTAACACTGCAGTTTTTCCTCTTCATCTCACAGCCCAATGCCAGAAAGGAGGACTTGTTTGGACGGCCAAGTCAGGGTCTCTATTCATCCTCGTACATGGCCAGTAAGGGCCTCACGGATCTGACTGTGGACATGAATTGCTTGCAGGTAAATATGGCCACATACTTTCTCACAGTACTGAAAATTGGTGAGTTTTTTTTTTTTTTTTAGTATTAAAAACTGATTTTAAATATAATTCTGTAAATATAAAATTTCTGAGAGTTTTTAAACTCTGCAATTTATCATCACTTCAGACCATTATTTGTCATTGCGCCATTCCAAACTAAATTCACCCTAAAACTTACCAACCATATTTTAATGTTTATTACTTTTTTATTTTTACTTTTATTTTGTTTCAGTCATTTATTTTAAATAAATACAATTATTATTTATTATAAATAAATATATAAATTATTATATAAACATATTTATATATAAACTCGTGCTGTCAATTTAACGTGTTAATTTAATTAGTTATGGAAAAATAACTCGTTAAAATTATTTGATTGGTAGATTGGTGACGAACATGATGCAGGGCAACAACTCTATATAATGCAGTTATATGCCTAAAGCCAGGGGGAGAACTGTTGTGCATCTCTGAGCAACACACAGCGGTGTTTCCTTTCTGAATGATTCCGCATTTTGAGCTAATCTGTCATTTAATAGAGCTATTTACTTTATTCATTCATGCAATTTGTTCAAACAACTGATTAATTCATGAACCATGACTCCATTACCTACTCATTAAGACATTTACCGGAAAAAAAAAGACATTTACCGCAACCTTCTGGCAGTTTTAGTTTCTTATTTAGAGAATCATTTCATAAAAAAAAAAAAAAAAAAAAATGAAGCTATTTTTGGGATAGTTTGCCCAAAAAATATATTTTTATTTACGTTTACTCACCCTCATGTCGTTTCAAACATGTATGACTTTATTTCTTCTGTTGAACATAAAAGATATTTTGAAGAATGTTGGTAACCAAACTGTTTTGGCTTGTAAATATATCTAAATACCAATTCAGAGGCAGCTTCTGAAAAAAAAAAAGCAGTTGCCGCCTAAAAGTTTGTTGAATTAAATAAAATATGTACTTCTAAAGTTAATTTTTGTAATGTCTATTTAATGCTTTTCTCATTTAACACAATAATGACTTTAAATGATCTTTTGGGAGTAATTTCTCAACCAAATTTGATGTGCAATTAATTTGCGTTTAATTAATTGGCACATCATGTAATTAATTAAAATTAAATATTAGTTGACAGCCCCTATTTAAACACAAACTGATGTTAAATAATTCCCAGTGCGGTCCAAAACGCTTCTCTGATCAGGTCTCAACAATGAGCAATAAAGCAATATTTTTACAATATTGTATTATGGGTAATTCTCATCCCAGATTCTACCCACAAAGATGTCGTATTCGGCGAACATGAAGAACGTGATGAGTATGGAGTCTCGGCAGAGGGGTGGCGAGGAGCAGTCGACTGCGGAGCAGGACATGGATGCATCTAAACCAGGCCCTTCACCCCATGATCTGGCAGCCCAGTTAAAGAGCAGCCTCCTTGCAGAGATTGGTTTGACAGAGAGCGATGGCCCGCCACTTCCCACATTTATGTAAGTAATAACATTTATAGATTCATTAAGGGCGGTGAGTGATGTGATGATGACGTTTCTTGCTTGTTTCCTCCAGTCCACACTGTAGTTTTATGGGGATGGTGATCTCTCACGACATGCTGCTGGGCCGCTGGCGGCTTTCTTTGGAGCTGTTTGGCCGTGTCTTCATGGAGGACGTGGGAGCAGAACCGGGATCTGTAAGTGCAGCTCATTTTTAGCAGATTATTTTCAGAGAGAGCCATTTTGAACAACTTTTCCCAAAGACTTTGCATTTGCACACTGTGCATGGAAACCATCCGCAGGTCACGTCGACTTACAGTATTGAATAACACATTTCCATGGACAAAATGCATATGGAAAATAGCAGAATACGCAGAGTGAGCTGCTGCGGGAAAGGTGCATGACCCATGTTGTCTGAAACGGCTTTATATTAAGCGTTTCAAACAAAAGGCACTCGGCGGCGCATGCATGTGTGTCAAACAGACGAAGCACAGTATTACAGGAGTGCAAAAAGTCTGACTAAAATATGCATTTTGCTAAAATATTTCTTGTTACATATAGATTTTGTGCTTTTTGTTTTTTTTAATAATTTTTAATTTGGTCTTTTTATTTTTTTGCTAGCACAGTATGCAATAAAATTAAGCAGTCAGTTGTTTTTTGGTTTAGAATGTGATGTTTATATTTTAACCCTTTTTTGCACATAATATATAGCATAGCCGATATAGATACATTCACTATATTTATTTTCACATTGTTTGGAAGACAACATTGGGCAGGATGTGGAATAACTTTAAAAAAAAAACTTTTATTCTTATTTAAAACACTTTTTTTTATGTTTAATCTGATTAATCAACAAATTAATCGACAGATTAATCGATTAGCAAAATAAATGTTAGTTACATCCCTAGAAAAGTTTGTCAATAAACATGAAAATTTAAAAGAGTTGTTCTATAAATATCTACTTTTGTTTGTTTTGTTTGTTTGTTTGTTTTATTTATTTATATAGCACAGTTTAATACAACTCACGTTGCCCAAAGTGCTTCACTTTTCTCTGAACGTTGCAGATCTTGACCGAACTGGGTGGTTTTGAGGTAAAGGAGTCCAAGTTTCGTCGTGAGATGGAAAAGCTGAGGAACCTTCAGTCACGTGATCTGGCCCTGGAGGTGGACCGTGACCGAGAGCAGCTCATCCAGCAGACCATGCGGCAGCTCAATGCCCACTTCGGCCGTCGCTGCACCACTACGCCCATGGCTGTGCATCGTGTAAAAGTGACTTTCAAGGATGAACCAGGAGAGGGCAGTGGAGTGGCACGGAGCTTTTACACGGCTATCGCACAGGCTTTCCTGTCCAATGACAAGCTGCCCAATTTGGACTGTGTACAGAGCGTCAGCAAGGGAATGCAGGCCAGCAGTATGTATCAATTTCCTTCTGGGTTTTCTTTTCTTTTTTTTGACAGGCCATTTTATGGAATGGTGAATGGAAACGTTATTACTTTTTTTTTTTTTTTTTTTTTTTTTTTTTTTTTTTTTTTTTCAGGATAAATGTTTCAGCTGCTGCGTAAATGTGGTGAAAGTTTGCTGGTGTTTTTTGAGAAGGTGATGCTCAGGTTTTCTGTGTGTGTTTGCAGATCTTATGCAGCGGCTGAGGAACCGAGACCGTGAGCGTGAGAGGAGGAGCGGAGGACTGAGAGCTGCATCCAGACGAGACCGTGACAGGTGACTTTACCTGAGCCTTATATATCAAATATTCATGATGTATGTTCTGGCAAAATAAGCTTAATACATTTTTTTTTTAGATACATTTTTCATGATAAATTGATTTTGCCAGAAAATTCATGAATATATCATGGAAGGTGATCTTTTATTTTTAAATAATTAAATAATTTTAAATAGTTTTTTTTTTTTTTTTTTTTTAAAGAATACCCATAACATTTATGATATTGCTTAAATTTATTTTGCCAGAGAATACGAGAATATAAGCATATAATTCATTTTATTGAGTTTCTTTTAAAATAATAGAGATGCAACAAGTCGATCGGAACCGGATTGGATCATGTGTGGTTTTTTTTTTTGGCTGATCTGTCGCACACAAACTGCATTGCAATCATTTCCCAAAATGTAATTTGTATGGAAATATGAAGTCTGTAAACAATATAATTCAATATCTGTAAACAAAGAAAAATATAAATATTGATTTGGGGTTCAGGGTTTATATGAATGTGTCTCTGAAGGGAACTGACTGTTTTCAGGTGCAGGTATGTTTTGGATAGCACAATTCCACAAAGCTAAAGTCAGACCATTCTGCTTTTGCTTTAAATTTTGAAATTATACTTTCTTATTTAGATAAAAAACATCTTCTCATGCTGCATGTGTGTAGCATCTTTGTTTGGATCGTGATTAAAATGCAGTAGTTGTCTCTAATTTCAAATGGCTACACATATGTTGTTGTTTAAGGCCAGTTTGGCCTGTAATCGAGCGAATAAACAACAAACAAATACATTTGCTTGTAAAAAATCATGATCAGTGCATTCTTAAAAAAAAATATTTAATAAAATAAAAGATCTAAAGCATTATTTTTTTTAACATTTTAATTTTTTATATTTTTAATTGTTTTTTTGTTTGTTTTTTTGCAGGGACTCAAGGAGACAGCTTTCAATTGACACACGGCCGTTCAGACCCGCATCAGAAGGGAACCCCAGTGATGAACCGGAGCCGCTGCCGGCTCACAGACAGGCTCTAGGAGAGAGACTGTACCCACGAGTGCACGCCATGCAGCCGGTACAAACCAGTACAACGATCAGCAAATGTGGCTTTTGAAAAGATGATTTAGTGTGTGATATGCATTTATGTGGTGTGCTTTTCTCTACAGGCATTTGCCAGTAAAATCACAGGGATGCTGTTGGAGCTCTCTCCTGCTCAGCTGCTGCTCCTTCTGGCCAGTGAAGACTCACTCAGAGCTCGTGTGGAAGAGGCCATGGAGCTGCTCATAACTCATGGAAGGTGAATAATCTCACGCCCCCGTCAAGAAAACACTCATTTATGCCTTAAATGAACTTAAACCGTTGAGAAGGAAAATGCCCGTGTAACAGTATATTGGATCTGTGCATTTGGTTTTTAAGTGACGGCAGTGTCTGTCATTAAATGTTAATCAAATTACAAAAGAGAGAAAAAAATCTCTCATTGCTCTTGACTGATTCACTTTTGTAACAGTAAAGACTATGCAGGTTTTTTTTTATACATTTGATTACTTAATACATTTATGTAGTATTTCTTATTTCTAGTGCTTATTGCTTTTCAGCTAGATCTTTAATTTGTGTCTGTTCTTTTATTGAGTTATTATAGTATTTAATAATATTACATACATAATTAATATTATATTATTTAAATACTATAAAGTAATTGTATATAATTAAATAAATTATGTAATTTACATAAGACATATTCAATATTATATTTATTAATTTAAAAAGTAATAATAAAATTACGTATTAAATACTATTATATGTAATTAATAAATACTGTAGTAATTGCTTATTGAATTTATTTGTTATAATACTAATAAATAATGTATTTTTTTGTAACCATTGTTTGCCATTTGATTCTTAAGGTGTAATATACCTAGACCCTATAGCTGATAGTGGAGTATTTTATGAGCTTCTCTCTCTTGCACAGGGAAAATGGCGCTGACAGTATACTGGACCTCGGCCTCCTCGACACTCCTGAAAAAGCACAAGTATGTTGTGTCTAAAACTCTAAAGGCTCTTTTCTTGTTCTTTGCATCAGCTTAGGTTCAGGGTACAACTCATCATCATTTTGTGCTCTATAGTTTTTGCATGCATATTGTGCATGAGTTGATGTAGTTCTTTGGAGATTAAAGAAGTTCTTTGTTGCACCTGTGATCTGTTTTTAATTGTAATTTCCATATTCCACCAGCAGGAGAACCGAAAGAGGCACGGTTCCACCCGCAGCGTGGTTGATATGGAGCTGGACGACCCTGATGACGGGGATGATAACGCACCTCTCTTTTACCAGCCCGGCAAGAGGGGCTTTTACTCGCCCCGTCCAGGCAAGAACACTGAGGCCAGGCTCAACTGCTTCCGTAACATCGGCAGGTATGAGACATGTTCACTTGATCTCACTTTCAATGAGAGAATAGTGTGAGAATGATCCACCAGCTTCTACTAATATCCCTGATTCTTTTCATCTGCCTACAGGATACTTGGGTTATGTCTGTTACAAAATGAACTTTGCCCCATCACACTCAACAGACACGTCATCAAGGTGTTGCTCGGCAGGAAGGTGAATATCTACGTGTTAATAACTTTTGTAATAACGATATCCTGCTTTGATCTGAGGTTAAAAACCTGTCACTAAGCTAGGGCCCTGTAAAATCTGTTTTATTTTTTTTTCCAAAATAACCATCAATATTACATACTGCACCTTTAATAATCAAAAAGTGTCTAATTAATTGAATTCATAAATTTAACAATTAAATAATTTATCAACATTTTTACAATAATGGGGCCTATGTATGAAATGTTTTATTTTTTGCATAAATTCTGGTTTGTCTTTTTTTATTTTTCTGGATTTATGATTTAATACAAATTTATCAAAAATGGTGGAAATCAAAGGCATACGATATTCAAATTTGAATTCATCTTTTAAAATGAAATCAAATTAAGAATTTTTTTTCTAAACAATATCTACTGATAATATTGAAACTTCATTTAAATGTCAAAATATTTTCATTTTTATTTTCACTTTGAGAAGTACGTACAACTGCGTGTCACGAACTTGAGTGTGTGGAAGACAAAACTGCGCTCATTCACAGAGACGTACAGAACATGCAGGCCTCGTTTTTAAACAATTTGTACAAACTACTTTTGACTTACTTATCCACAATTTGCCAAACTTCTGTGACATTTTCTGACTGGATTTCGCTATTCTGTCTCTTGTGCTGCAGGTGAACTGGCACGACTTTGCTTTCTTCGACCCGGTGATGTACGAGAGCTTGCGACAGCTGATTCGACACTCTCAAACCGAGGAGGCGGAGGCTGTGTTTGCGGCGATGGACCTCGCCTTCGCTATTGACCTCTGCAAGGAGGAAGGAGCAGGACAGGTAATGGCTACATTTCCCCTTTGTGTTTGCATTAGGGTTCAGTGTTTGCACATGTCTGAATGTTTTTCTGTTGGATCTGCAGGTGGAGCTCCTGGCCGGTGGGGTCAACATGCCTGTGACTCCTCTGAACGTGTACGAGTACGTGAGGAGATACGCAGAGCACCGGATGCTGGTGGTGGCAGAACAGCCTCTGCATGTGAGTGCACTTAAAGGAGAACTCCGGCGCAAAATGAACCTTTGGTCTAATTACACATTGTTACCTAGTCACCCGTTATCTGAGATTTGTTTTCATGATTATCGAATGTAAATAGTTTTATCTCTAAAAACAGTTTAGCCTATAAAGCTAGTATAACGCTAGTATATTGGGCATAGTGTAATGACAAATAAAAATCGCTTGTTAATACCACTAACAAGGCTGAAAATAGCCCCACACTAACACGGTAGCATAATGAGGGTCCCTACCTTCAAACCGAAGCATTGAGAACTTTGTCAGTGTCCAGACAGTTTAATAAGAAGATATTTAATACATACAGTCAACTTCGCGTATACAGGCAGAAGCCATCTTTGAAATACCGTCTTTACCAGTCGATCTACGAACGCCGATTCAAGTGCGCTGGTGAGATGTGAACGAGCTATGAGTTGTGATAAGGTGAGCGCGAACAGCAGGCTTGGATCGGCGTTCGTAGATCGACTGGTAAAGACTGTATTTCAAAGATGGCTTCTGCCTGTATACACGAAGTTGACTGTATGTTTAAAATATCTTCTTATTAAACTGTCTGGACACTAACAAAGTTCTCAATGCTTCGGTTTGAAGGTAGGGACCCTCATTATGCTACCGTGCTAGTGTGGGGCTATTTTGAGCCTTGTTAGTGGCATTAACAAGCGATTTTTATTTGTCATTACACCATGCCCAATATACTAGCGTTATACTAGCTTTATAGGCTAAACTGTTTGTAGAGATAAAACTATTTACATTCGATAATCATGAAAACAAATCTCAGATAACGGTTGACTAGGTAACAATGTGTAATTAGACCAAAGGTTCATTTTGCGCCGGAGTTCTCCTTTAACTTTTCAGTCACCTAACCGGATTTTTAGGACTCAGAGAGCCAGACTTTGACTATCTGGTCCATATCTCACGGCTCATTCTTGATCTTATTTTGAAACTTACTGGTTTTGCATCTTCTTAATTTTGGTCTACGGTTAGCAGAGGGTAACATTGAGATTGTGAGCATTATGTGCTTAAATGATGGTGGCAAGGGACAAAACGCTACACAAAAATGCCAGTAAAGGTAGTTTATTTTACAACTAAGGAATTACCTGTCCAGTTTTCCCCTTCGGCAAGGAGAAGGTTGTCATCTCCCATCTCCATCTCCATGTCAGCACAAAAGCAAATATAATGAATGATGAGAAACAAAAATGGCAAAAAACAAAACGAGATGACAACTCAAAAACTGTACAAAGAAAGAATGATACTGAGCACAAAAAAATAGCAAAAAGGGCAGATTAAATAACTCCGACATAAAGTAGGGGAACAGGAGAGCAATGATTGTCTGCCTCGCGTTAATCCTGTCACTATTTTAAACGCGGATGGTAGACAGGATTGGCAGCGGAGACCATGTCGTCAGTCTGGTTAACAATGATAGGCAGCTTCCCGAACCAATAGCAGTCCCGAGGGGTTGAGCCTAAGGCCCCATCCATACTACTGCGTTTAGTTTAGAAACGGATAATTAAAACGAATACGATCTCCGTCCACACCAGCGTTTTAGCTGCGTATTAGAATTGATCTCCGTCCACATTAAAACGACTGAAAACGCGGATCACGTGACCATTCACCAACACTGGGCATGCGCGTGCCGTTGTACACACAACTTCATGTAAGGAATAATTGACGACAGGCCGTTGAATTATTAAAAAAATAATGCACACCCGAGGTGGTAATGCGGTCACGACGCGAAGCGGAGTGGCAAAAAATTATTTGCCACTTATACTACAGATACCACACCTCGAAACATTGTTCAAATGATGTATTTCAAGACGTTTGTAAAGTTTTTGTCATTAAAACGCTCTTGTATGTAGGACTAATTTCTTGCGCATCTAATCCCATGCCTCCGTTGCTAATTCCAAAACGTCATTTTAGAGTTAGTAACGGAGGATTGAGCCACTGATAGCAGACTAAATGCTGGACACACTTAACGACTGGCTGAAACACTCTCTGTCTGTTTCCATCGGCTGCAGCAGATTTTACACACCGACTGTGAACACAGACTGAACGTGCTGAACACGCATTTGGGCATGATCAATCATAACAAAGTATCAAATTACATTCATAACCGCCCTTACAATAAGTGTGGCCTCGGCTTTACGCAGTTATTAATGCGAGAGAGAGAGAGAGAGAGAGAGAGAGAGAGAGAGAGAGAGAGAGAGAGAGAGAGAGAGAGAGAGAGAGAGAGAGAGAGAGAGAGAGAGAGAGAGAGAGAGAGAGAGAGAGAGAGAGAGAGAGAGAGAGAGAGAGAGAGAGAGAGAGAGAGAGAGAGAGAGAGAGAGAGAGAGAGAGAGAGAGAGAGAGAGAGAGAGAGAGAGAGAGAGAGAGAGAGGCATGTGCGTCAATATTATTATTTATTAATTACCTCAATTCGTTTTAATTAGTTCGTTCATGTTTTTTTTTCTTCTAATATTGACAGTCGACCAGCCTAATAAATGAAACACAAAGTCCTATTAACAAGTATAGGCCTATCAATAATTATTTATTTGTTATAGCCTATTATCTGCATTAATTACGAAAACCCGTGCAGCAGGACTATCAATGTAGCCTATTTGGCCTATATTCAGTTTAATTTGATTGATTATAGATAGGTTAAAATTAAACTGCATGTTTCTATTGATTGTGAAGTTAGACATCGAAAATGGCAGATCAAGCGCATGGGCTGCATGTTTTTTCTTGTTATGAATTGTATTATATTTTCCGTTATGACAGTTGACTACGCGAAGTGATATGGAACGGTAATGTGGTCAAGACCTGCCTGGAACTACTTTAGCCGTGCGTTTCCCTGAAAATAATTGCACACCTTAGAACGTTCCTCAACCAATCAGATTCAAGCATTCAACGGCCCTGTAGTATAATGATAAAATTATCCCACCATGCTCTGGGTTAACCCCAAACCGGCGCTCCATGTACGGTCAACGCCGCCGCTGCATTCGGGAATTGTCACAGATCGCTCGAATAATAGCTTGACTTATATAATAGCTTAATTTACTTGTACAACAGCTGCTAGCAAAGATATACGCCATGACTGATGACACCCAATCATAGAGCCGAGCGTGAGCCTCTACTACGTCATCGTTTCTAAAGTCCTCCGTTTTGACCCGTCTACACTAAAACGCCCTCCGGAGATTCAAAACGAAAAACGGGTCGGCAGCGTTTCTAAACTTCTCCGTTTTGGGTCTCCGTTTTTGCCGTTTTAGTGTGGACGGGAGGTGCAAACGTAGCAAAAGATCTCCGTTTTTGAATGAAAACGCAGTAGTGTGGACGGGGCCTAAGAAATTGACAGAGTGAGGGAGTGAAAGAGGGCAAAACACAGGGACACAACTACTGGTTTTGAAATGCACATTTACTTTTATGGATTTGGCAGACGCTTTTATCCAAAAAGCGACATTCAATCCGACATTTGTTCAATTCACGCATTCCTTTGCGTTGCATGCTTTAGGAGCGTGTTCTTTCGCCACTCACTGAAAAATCTGTACTCTCTGCCAAAAATAAAGCCATGCGCAGATGTAAGTGAAGATGTTGTTTTGCAGGCCATGCGGAAGGGCCTTCTGGATGTGCTTCCAAAGAATGCTCTGGAGGACCTGACGGCGGAGGACTTCAGATTGCTGGTCAACGGCTGTGGAGAAGTCAACGTCCAGATGCTCATTAGTTTCACCTCTTTCAATGATGAATCAGGTACTTTAAGCCTCGCTCAGACTGTCAGGCCAAATCCGATTTTTGTGCATATCCGATTGGAATCTGATCATATTTAGCAAGTGTGAATGGAAAAAAATCACATGAAATGCAAATCTGTTTTGAGCTACATTTTATATGTGGTTTGAAATGTAAATCGCATGTCTGGAAGTTTGTTTCAGCTCTTATCTGATTTTAGTTTGCCACTTTCTCATGCCACGTAAAATGTTAGATGTTGTTATAGGAAACATGCTGAAAGTTGCTGCAGAAACAAGGTTGTGTTGTTGCAAAGTGCAGAAAATTACAATACAATGGATGCATACAATTTTGAGACTGGTGGAGACGACAGCACGGAATAAAGCCGTGCAAACCAGCCTCCTCCGTTTCTGCCGCTGCCTCAGAAGATGTAGTAGTCAGCGCAGCGGCTACACATTGTCATGTTGTAAATCAGACAAAACATCTACCTCTGCAAGCCGACCTCAAACAATGGCTTGTCATTTGAAACGTTAGTAGAACGAGCGGCCATGTAAAGTGGCTAGCGTTAGCCTAACATTAACCTAGATAAATGTACTCTAATATTAGGGGCAAACCAAGTGTTCGTGTGGAAGCTAAATTAGTACCGCGCTTACTGCACGACATGTTTAACTTAACGTTCATTTCTCTCTATAGGCACGTCCAGAGATGACGAGCCAGTGTCGTCAACTTCAACTTTGCAGCCGACACTTACTCATAAAACACTAGTTTATTAAATTATTCAAATGTTCAGACAGTCTCCTTTGTTTTTTTCCGATACATTCATAATCGTTACTTTTGCCAGTGCACTGCGGCAAGCTTTATTTGCGCTTTAGCACTTAATTTATATTTTAAGGCTCATTATTAAGGTTTAGCATTTCTCTGTAATGTAGAGCAATGTTAGTAATGTGACGTATAATATTCTTTCTCAGCCCTGAAACTCAAATCATTTTGTTTGTGCCTCCAAACATCAGGCATCTGCCTCTGAATGCAAGATAACATGACAGTGTTTATTGCGTTTGATCTGTTCTCTGATGCGCAAGCATTTTTTTGTCTGAAATAAATTCACAGACTTCCCGTTACAGCAACTTAAAAAAAAAAGAAAATGTATTACTGATATGCGCCGATGACCATGAAGTGATGATTTATTTTCTCTTTTTTGAAGACATGGGATGGAAATGATGCTTTATTTGCAAATGTTTTATGAGATATTCCAGTTTTGGAACGTAGGATGGAAACAGATATTGACTGTAAAGCATATTTTAGTGCAACATCCTGTTTCTATTATATTAGGCAACGATTTGAATCAGAAATTGTGTTAATGGACATTTTGAAAGAACATTTTCCATCGAATATCAAACTAAAGGTTATTATATAATTGCTATATTTTTATTGTTGTAAAAAGATTTGGTTAAATATTTTTATATAATTGTGTATAACTTTGTATGTTGTTTTATTAGGGGCCAAGCACCATTGTAATCGTTGGCATTCTTATTATTATTCTGCTGCTGCTTCCTTTTCTTTCTTCTTCTGCTCTTGAGTCTATGGCAGCGCATAGAACCGCTTGTGGGAAAGTTATCAAATTTGGCACACAGATAAAGGACAGTCTGGACATAAACCACAGCAATTTTGGAGTCTAACTCAATCCCTCTAACACCACTAACTGTTCAAAGTTTCACTTACATTTATGCTAATAACTTTTGAACCTTAAGGCTAGAAACAAAATTATAGTTTCCTCTTATTCCTTGTCTCAAGACGATTCGATTGGAAATGTAATTTTCTGTCATGAAATTCACTACTTTCTCAAACTCCTCCTAGACCGTTCATCCAATTTCCACGAAAATTTAACTAGATCATCTTTAGGCCATGCCAACAAAAAGTTACGGATTTTAAAACTTTTATTGAATGAGTTTGACGAAGAGCATGCCAAAATGGATGAGGCGCTATATCAACGCTTTAACATATTCTGACCAAACTTGGTTTGTGTTATGACAACCATGACCTAAGGCTCCCTGCACAGTTTCAGCGCAGTGCCACCTAGTGGTCTGGAGATATGAAAAATGTACATTTTGCTTATATCTTCTGAACAGTTTGGACAAAACTGTTGTCATTTAGATTTGATGCAGCATGACAAGTCGAACGATTCCCAATTTTCCCATGTAGGCCATTTTGTGTGTCGGCCATCTTGAATTTTGTTGTAAAATGCTTTACTTAACAAACGTATTGACGTATTGGTTCGAGTGTCTTCGGCACCATGCACTGACGGTTCTCATAACTTTTCAAGGTGGCGAGGCACTGAAACTTTTTAATGAAATTTCCAAAAATGCTAATAACTTTTGATTAAATCAGCTTACTTTAGTGAACCTGGTCTTAATAAATTCCTTGGGTCATGCCGAAAACATGGATACCAATTTTGCCAGTCAGTCAAACTTCCTGTCCACCACTTCTATTTTCTTTTTAAAAAAAAAGCAACGTTTTCAAACTCCTCCTAGACCGTGAGTCCACCAAAATCGAATTGTATCATCGTAGGCCCCGTCCACACTACTGCGTTTTCATTTAAAAACGGAGACCTTTTGCTACGTTTGCACCTCCCGTCCACACTAAAATGGAGAAGTTTAGAAATGCTGCCGATCCGTTTTTCGTTTTGAATCTCCGGAGGGCGTTTTAGTGTAGACGGGTCAAAACGGAGGACTTTAGAAACGATGACGTAGTAGAGGCTCACGCTCGGCTCTATGATTGGGTGTCATCAGTCATGGCGTATATCTTTGCTAGCAGCTGTTGTACAAGTAAATTCTGCATTTTACAACGCTATAACTGCCTACATGCGCCGGAGTCAAGCTATTATTCGAGTGATCTGTGACAATTCCCATGTGCAGCGGCGGCGTTGACCGTACATGGAGCGTCGGTTTGGGGTTAACCCAGAGCATGGTGGGATCATTTTATCAATGAAGTTGTGTTTACACCGGCACGCGCATGCCCAGTGTTGGTGAATGGTCACGTGATCCGCGTTTTCAGTCTTTTTAATGTGGACGGAGATCAATTCTAATACGCAGCTAAAACGCTGGTGTGGACGGAGATCGTATTCGTTTTAATTATCCGTTTCTAAACTAAAACGCAGTAGTGTGGATGGGGCCTTAAAAAGAGTTTAGTATACCGCATCAACAAATTTAATGGCATGGTGCAAAAATGACTCTGAGGCCGAATCTCTGCAATGCTTTGGCATATTGACACCAAACTTTACATGTGTTATCCACACCACATCAATTTGGTCACAGCGCCACCTATTGGTCAAAAACATTAGATCACATTATTAGTGATTGTATTAAATTTTTGCCTAAAATCATCTTAATATGTCTTTAACTGCTCATTGTCGCAGTTGGTCTGATGACTTATCGCGCCTTCTTTGTGCTTGGCCCCTTAATTGCTGCTTGCAGCTATATTTATGATTCTGTTATAAACCGAGTAGTTTGCCATGAAAACATGTTCTGCTTATATGACATGAAATAAATCAGATCCAATTAATCAACTGTCTGTAAATACTTCAATGGTGTTTTGTTTAAACCCCCAGGCGAGAATGCGGAGAAGCTGCTGCAGTTCAAACGCTGGTTTTGGTCCATCGTTGAGAAGATGAGTATGACGGAGAGGCAGGACCTGGTAGGACGTTTCTGCATTTCTTTACTCGGTTGTTAATGCACCTAAAGTGTGCCAGATGTTAAGGCATTCGTGTGTGTGACTCCCGCAGGTATATTTCTGGACGTCCAGCCCGTCTCTGCCGGCCAGTGAAGAAGGTTTCCAGCCCATGCCCTCCATCACCATCCGCCCGCCGGACGACCAGCACCTGCCCACCGCCAACACCTGCATCTCTCGCCTTTACGTGCCACTTTACTCTTCCAAACAGATTCTCAAACAGAAACTTTTACTAGCCATCAAGACCAAGAATTTCGGTTTTGTGTAGTTAAACGAAACTCGTTTAATTGTTGTGTAATATTCTAGTTCCATTTTTGTAGATTTATTTTTTGTCTATACAATTTTATGAAATTTAAAAAGTGCTGTCGCATCCCCGGCAGTCATTTTTTTGGGTCTGCGTTTCAAACGTTGGACGGCTTGTTCTTATTTTGTTTTTGTTTTTTTATTTCCGTTATCAGAGTATAACGCAACATTCCTGCATTGGCTTTTGTAAAGTTGAAGCCTGCAGCTCCATTGGCTTGAACTGTAACTTCCCGTGACTTTGGCCTGACGGTAAACTGTCCGCCAAACCCCAGCCAAAGATGACAGCAGGAGTATTTAAAGAAAAAGGAAGATTACACTGTGATTTGATTTATTTTTTTCCCTGCCCTAATCATAAATATTACTATCACTGAGAGTTCACTGCTGCCTTTGTGGAAAGTCATTTTTTCTTGTATAGAGGGAGTAGGGAATTTCAAAAATAAACTTGGATGCAAACTAGTGTTGTGGTTCTTCTACATACACGTTTCTGTAACACAATCCTTTAGATGAAAAGTTTTAAATGTCCCACTGTGTCTTCAGAGACTTCAGTTGGATCCTGTGGTGAAACAGAATGCATTATGCAGTGATAAACTAGTAAGCTGTTCTCTCATCACTTCAGTAGTGTCGGTTGTCAATGTTGGAAAAATAAAATCAGGTAATTTGCATTCAATTTCTGCAGAAAACTCATACTCTGCAAAGAAAAACCTGCAATATACTAAATTGAGTTAAAAATGCAAAGTAGCTGTGTATGTCTGAGATGATAGTTGTATCACACTCGCTGAATTAAACATGCAACGTGGTCATTTGACAATATTGTTTATTACTTTTTCAAACATTTATTGCACGCTTGAAAGTGGGTTTAAACGCTATTATGCAGTATTTCACTCAGATAAAGTCCCTGGCCTGATTTGGCAGAGCAGAACAGACAAACAGGATATTGTGTAAAGTAAACATCAAGGAAATGACATTTAAAGGTTAAAGAAAAGTTGAATGAGTTTACCAGTCTAAAATGAGGTCCCATTTGTTAACGTTCATTAATGCAATAACTAAAATGACCTAAAAAATAGCTATATATTTGTTTCAGTAATTATTGATTTATAAAGTCAATAATTACTGAAACAAATATATAGCTAATTTTTAGTTCATGTTAGTTATTGCATTAATGAGCGTTAACAAATAATAAAAACGTTTAATTATCAGAGATATAGCTTTTGATCTTAGAAATGTAGAGTAACTAAGATTATAAGACTATTTTCATAGTTCATGTTACCCAATGCAGAAAACTAATATTAAAAGGAATTTTGTAAAGGGTTACCGAACTATCTAATAACAAATTCTTATTGTCTGATGTAAATATTTGTAATGCTTTACAATAAGGTCTTGGTGGTAACATTAAAAAAAATACTGCTCATTAGATAATTTGCTTTGTTAATGTTACTCATACTATTGTTCATGTTAGTTCAGAGCATTAATGTTAACGGATACAACTTGTTTTTAAAAATGTAGAGTAAATGAATATAGAAATACTGGTGGTTCATGTTAACTAATGTAGTTAATGGCCGTAAAAATATCAGTATCACTTTGCAATAACATCCCATTTGAAGTGGAAACTTTTAATTTAGACCCTAAAGAATCATATTAGCTTGTACAAAAATTGCATTATATGACCCGTTTAAGGTTAGTGAATGCATTAACATGAACTGAGCAATAGATTTAAGTAATTATTGATTTTCCGATCTTAGTTGAAAATACAACTGTTCATTGTTAAAGATACAACTTTTGATTTAAAAAATGTGCAAGTAGATGTTGAAATAAGGACTAAATTATACAGTTAACAATTGAAACATAAGGTGTTACTGACTTTTTTGATATGTTGGTGTGTATATATATATTCAATGAAAAGCAGGTAAAAGAATAAAACACTCGGATGATGTTTGTTTATCCTTGTTTATTTAGCATAGACAAAAATACTAAGTCTTTAATATAAACAGATGCTACAATCAAGACTTAACTAAAATACAAATTTAGTTTCAAATACAATAACCTTAAGAAAACCTTCAAAAAAGAAAAGTAACACTGCGACCTTTCAGAGGCAACACCAAAGTCTTTAAAATGTGTGTTTTTTACTGTCTGCATGCATCTTTTGAACAAAAAATAGCTGGTGTTCTGATCGTCTCTGACTATAAAAATAAAGCCATCTTTATTACACTGGCATCAAAGCGATGGGCACATTTCTTACAAAAGAACAATCTGAAACTGCCTTTGACAACACTAACTTTCAAACAAGCTGCATCATTAGTTTGGGGATCTGATAAGCACGGTGTCATGAATACACACGATGAAAAGCTGCACATGATACTGTATTTACACTAACGGCCCCCAGACTTGCGGCCGGCCCAGGACCTGGAGCGCGAGCGAGACGGTGACCGGGACGCCGAGCGGCCCCGGGGTTCGTCCTCACGGGAGCCGGTGGACGGGTGCAGGTCTTCCACCGGCTGGCCCGACCTGGACTGAGACCTGCGGCTCTTGGACTTGTACTTGGAGTCCTGGGAAGGAGAATGCGAGGCAGACCGGTGGTGTCTGCGTCCGTGGTCACGTGACCTGTGTCTGAGCAGAAAACTCTGATTTACGGCCTGTTTTCCATAGTAGAAGTTAAAGGGTTAGTTCACCCAAAAATTGAAATGATGTCAATGACTCACCCTCATGTCGGTCCAAGCCCGTAAGACCTCCGTTCATCTTCAGAACACAGTTTAAGATATTTTAGATTTAGTCCGAGAGCTTTCTGTCCCTCCATTTAAAATGTATGTACGGTATACTGTCCTTGTCCAGAAAGGAAATAAAGACATCATCAAAGTAGTCCATGTGACATCAGTGGGTTAGTTAGAATGTGTTGAAGCATCGAAAATACATTTTGGTCCAAAAATAACACAAACTACGACTTTATTCAGCATTGTATTGTCTTCCGGTTCTGTTGTGGATCCGCATCAAAGTCCTTTTAGGCAAGTCATGCCACTCGGCCGCCATCTTGGCAACGCCTCCGGGCAGCTATTTCGGACTAACAAGACCAGGCTCCTATCTAAATGAATGGGCAGAGAGTCAGAACTGCAGTTTCACTGGTCACCGGGACATAAAAACTGCTTGTATAGAAACAGCAGTAAAATATAATAAAAATCGCTGAAAAAGTTTGATGAATTGCCCCAAAATAAGGTTTAAAAGGTCTTTTCCCCCACAGGTTATAGTTTTACTACGCATGCGCAGTTGAGCAAACCTCAACTGTGCGCATGCGTCAGTGGAACCAGACGATAGGCTTACATGTTTCCCAGCTTGACTGTTTAAAGCAGACGATTGGCTTTCCAGCGGGAGGGGCGGGACATGTGCATACAACCGCCATCTTTGGGGTTACGGGTTTTCCCTATATAGTTGTATTGAGGATTGAGGAAGTGGCATGTCTATATAAATTGTCTCTGATCCGCGTTCACGAGTCCGCAGTGACGCTGCTGACGTAAGACGCTGCTGACGTGTGTCTGGTGCGCCCGTGTATTCGGGTTCAAATAAATATGGCTAGGCAAAAAAATGCATGTCTTCCTCTGTGTGGAAATCCTTAGACATGTTTGCGAAGATTGTTTTGTTTCCAGCGTGCGTCTCCCTCAGACTGTAAACGAAGCTCGGGCGCACCAGACACACACACACACCAGACACACGTCAGCAGCGTCTTACGTCAGCGGCGGCACTGAACGTGGATCCACAACAGAACCGGAAGACAATACAATGCTGAATAAAGTCGTAGTTTGTGTTATTTTTGGACCAAAATGTATTTTCGATGCTTCAAAACATTCTAACTAACCCACTGATGTCACATGGACTACTTTGATGATGTCTTTATTTCCTTTCTGGACAAGGACAGTGTACCGGACATACATTTTCAATGGAGGGACAGAAAGCTCTCGGACTAAATCTAAAATATCTTAAACTGTGTTCCGAAGATGAACGGAGGTCTTACGGGCTTGGAACGACATGAGGGTGAGTCATTAATGACATAATTTTCATTTTTGGGTGAACTAACCCTTCGCCCATTTAAGACATGAAGTTGTATGCAATCCTTACCAGCACTATAGTGTATACACACTGACCCACTCTGTTCTCACCTCCCTGGTCAGAGTTCTGGCCGCTGGAAGTTTTTCAATAAAGTACTCCCGGTTATTTTCCGGTGCCACAAAACTGTGCGTTTTTACGTGAAAAAAATATTTGCGTTTCAAAGCTTGATTAATTTACCACACAAAAAACACGCCGGTCAAAATTCATACCTCAGTTTTGATCGGCACTATTTTCTATCCATTTCTATCAATCCGCGCTGCTGTCAACGTCAACAGTGCGCACGTTCCGATCAGCTGTTGATAGCGCGACTCGCTGACAACATGTCTGACTGCGAAACTTCTGATGATGAAACCAATTTTAGCACAATGCCAGACGGATCAGATGATTTAAGTAATTTTAGCACAACGACAATGTTATTGATTGCAACACAATCACAATTGTGTGTTCAATCAAATAGTTTTCTCAGCAAATTGTACCAATATCCCTTTAGCTGTTTTTATATTAGACATCTTTTCACGTGTTTTATAATGAAGTCTAAACATTAGCTTGTTTACCGTACAGTTTAGACATGGGATCATAAAGTTAGTAAATAGAGCTTACCCGTGGTACTGGTACAGCAAAACTCTTTAATTTTCCTTTTCCTCCTTGATTGGGGATGTAATCGTCTTCGCTGAAGTGAGCACTACACACACGAAAATCCTTTATTCTGTATATTTTAGCTCCCGCAGAGTAGCCGATAGCAACCAGCCAAATCAACAACACGCGCTTGCACCCCCTGCTGGTGAGGCCGACTAACAGCAGATGGAGATTATGCTCGGTAAACTGTCTCATAGTTATATTCGAAACAGGAATACGATGGAATCTGAACTTTGATCCCGGCACATCCTTGTGGTCACAGCCTGGGAATTTACAAGTTCGCACCATTGTTAATTTAATACGTTTTACGTCGTTGTCAATCGATTGTGTAAACAGTATGGAACAGCTGATCGGAACGTGCGCACTGTTGACGTTGACAGCAGCGCGGATTGATAGAAATGGATAGAAAATAGTGCAGATTAAAACTAAGGGTATGAATTTTGATCGGCGTGTTTTTTGTGTGGTAAATTAATCAAGCTTTGAAACGCAAATAATTTTTTCACGTAAAAACGCACAGTTTTGTGGCACCGGAAAATAACCGGGAGTACTTTATTGAAAAACTTCCAGCGGCCAGAACTCTGACCAGGGAGGTGAGAACAGAGTGGGTCAGTGTGTATACACTATAGTGCTGGTAAGGATTGCATACAACTTCATGTCTTAAATGGGCGAACTAACCCTTTAATGCATTATTTTTTTGCACAATGCATTTTCATGTTTGAGTATAATAAACCTTTACAAAGGGAAACGCATGAAGCCAAGGCGTCAGATGCTGACTTGGTTTTAATGCACTGGACTTACCTGTCATTCTCACGACTTCTGCTTCTCCGGTGTCTGCCGTGTGACCGAGAGCTGTCAAAAAAAAAAAAACATTCAATGGATCAATGTAGAACAACACATTGGTAAAAAAAAAGAAGTTTTTTAATAAAAAATTTAATTTATGCCCAGTTTCACAGACAAGGCTTAAGTTAGTCCCAGACTAAAATGCATGTTTGAGCTGTTATAACTGAAAACAATTTGCACTTGCATATCTCTAAATATATCAGTGCCATTGTTTTGTCTCAAGATGGACACCAGTAATGTGTTTTCTAAGGCATTTATATTTTAAAAAAGCTTCTTAAATTCCCTAATTGAACTAAGGCTTAATCTAAGCCCTGTCTGTGAAACCGGGCCAAAGTAAAAAAAAAAAAAAAAAGTCTGATGTCACGATTCGATATTATTAATTGCGATACTCCAAGACATGGTAAAAGGTTAACAAAAAATGTACTGTTGATTAAAATGCTAAATTTGGTGTTACATTGTGGGTGTAAATGAATAGGCTTGGACTTGGTGCTGATAACCCAATGCACAGGATAATAGTGACACCAGAATAAAAATATTCATGAAGCTGAAAACAGAATTATTTTAGACAAATATGCTTGCATTTTGACACTGACGAGATATGTTTAAAATAATGTAGGCCACTTTTACTGGTAACATCAGACATTTGGCATTACACAAATATTCCCTCATCAACATTATATAGTAGTTTAATGTAGTACTGACACTAAAACTCGGAAAACTTGCATTTCTTTTCTCACAGTAATTTTCATTTTGGGTGAACTATACATATTGTCACTATCCACGATACATATTGTTGCAGATTTGTATTGCAATATGTTGTGACGAGATATATTGTTACACCCCTTATATATTATATATGTTGTTATTTAAAAAAAAAAAAGCTAAAAATGTTAAAGTTTGTGTGTTTTAGACTCGGTGTGTGTGTGTTTGTCCTCACTCTCTCGGGCTCCCTGATGGGCGAGCGTGGCGTTCGTAGGACTGACTGCGAGATCTGCTTCTGTAACTGCGGCTGCGGGACCGTCTGCGCCGCCCGTCCCGCTCGTAGTCGTCGTATCGTGAGTCGCTGCGAGGAGAGCGCTTCTCTTTGGACTTCATCTGACCGGGAGCTGCGCAACACCACAACACAACAGCACGCCACTAAATAACATTTAATTGCTAATATAAAATGATTTTCAATGCATTTAAACTGGAGGATTCCAATCTTTGCAGTTCAACAAACTATATATTCATTTTCAACATGCAGAAAAACAGTGTTATACTCTTGCGGTCTCCTTGAGCGAACTGGATCTCGATCTGCCGTCCGCAGATCCACTTCCTGTCCAGGTTATGAAGCGCATCCTCTGCGTCACGAACGTCCTCGAACATGCAGCTGCGGTTAAGGCTTTGCTTTTTTTTAAATAAGAGTCTTATTTATCTCAGGTACACTGAGTTTACACACCGATGAACATTTATATTATACACACTGAACTCTCCATCAATACGATATTAAAGGATTAGTTCACTTTAAAAAAAACTTTTGCTGATAATTTACTCACCCCCATGTCATCCAAGATGTCCATGTCTTTCTTTCTTCAGTCGAAAAGAAATTAAGGTTTTTGATGAAAACATTCCAGGATTTTTCTCCATATAATGCACTTTGCTGGGCACCAAACGGTTCAAGGTCCAAAAGACAGTTTCAGTGCAAACTGTTCAAAGGGCTTTAAACGATTCCAGACGATGAATAAGGGTCTTATCAAGCGAAACGATCGCTCATTTAAAAAAGAAATAACAAAGTTTAAGTTTTATAAGCTCAAATGCTCGCCTTGCTCTGTTCTGTGTGACTCTCCTGTTCGAACTCGTTCATCAAAATGAACAAATCTTTTTTCGAGTCATTTGATTCATTTAACGAACGAAATGAACGAGTTCGAACAGGAGAGTCACACAGAACAGAGCAAGGCGAGCATTTGAGCTTATAAAACTTAAACTTTGTTATTTCTTTATTAAATGAGCGATCGTTTCGCTTGATAAGACCCTTAATCATCGTCTAGTGTCGTTTAAAGCCCTTTGAACAGTTTGCAGTTTGCACTGAAACTGTCTTTTGGACCTTGAACCGTCTGGTGCCCAGCAAAGTGCATTATATGGAGAAAAATCCTGGAATGTTTTCATCAAAAACCTTAATTTCTTTTCGACTGAAGAAAGAAAGACATGGACATCTTGGATGACATGGGGGTGAGTAAATTATTAGCAAAAGTTTTTTTTAAAGTGAACTACTCCTTTAACATTCACCACAAAATATGAAAGATTATAAAGCAAAACAATCATCTGAATTAATTGTGATAAACGGCAAAAGGGGAATGTGTTGATGAAATCACTCTGAAATTAGGAAAGAAATTCACAAAATTTCCAAGCGTGTTCTCCAACTTCAGGCACTTGTACAGTACGTGACATGACGTGTGTTATGGACAAGAACCAGAATATGGTGTCATTTACAATCAAATGATGCAAAAAAGATGTGAAAATGTTATGTAATTGTGAGGCTGTGTTTTAACTAGTCATTTCCACCACAGAATGAAGGATGAGATGAGCTGGAAAAAACATTAGATCTCATAAACAGGCAATTAAATGAAAAACGAGTGTGTGAATGTGATGATTGAGTGAGTGCCCGCAGTTAAAGAAACAGCAATAAATGCATCTGTAGGCCAATCAAAATCATGGATAGGAAAACTTCCTTTGATTACGTACAGAAATCATGTGCTCTGTAATGGTAGGATACAACATTAAAACGGGTTACCTTTAACATGCTTGACCTTTGACCTTCAGCTTGACCTTTTTTGTCTTTAACCTCCTCCGAGAAGGACTTGGGGATGTCTTTGCCCAATAACCTTTAGTCTTTTCCTCTTTCTTTGGTCAGACCGAGGCCTTGACTTGATTTTGGTCCCCTTTGAATCTTCAAGCTTTAACTTTCTCTTTATTTTCTTTGTCTTGAATCTACTCTACATCGGCCCTTTTAAATATTCTGTGTAGGGAAGGTCTCCAGAACTGTATGTCTTTACATTTTCTGAGACAACAACAGAGGAAATATCAGTTAGGAGACAAACATCTGACAAGTTCACGGCCATCACAGTCAAGCTTTTAAGGGATAGTACACACAAAAAGTACAATTTTGTCACTATCCAATCTCCACATACAATGGAAAAGTGAATGGGAACTGGACCACACACACACACACACACACCAGGGATTCACACTCAAGAGCAATCGCACCAGGGTTCGTTTTAATCAAACCAAACCTCCCAATTGTCAAGTCACATGGACTAGCCGAACTGGACTAGTTCCCATTCACTTTCGTTATTCAGAACAGTGCAGCTTGGAAAGAAAAGGTGAATAAATGATGACAGATTGTTTATTTTCGGATGAACCATCCCTTTAAAAGTTACCAATATTTGCTTTCTTTTACACATTTGCCTACAAAGGATATTGTACGTATGCAAATCCTCTTGGTCGCCGTGAATAGAAGTCAACAGGAACGTAGACATCTACTATAGGTCCGTAACGACCAAACTCACGACGCAAATCCTCTGGCCTAAAGTACCATGAAATGACAGGACATTCATTTCTCTGACTGAGTGCTTTGAGGAGAATAACGTGACATAAGCTGCCATTGAAGCGCTGATATTTGCCACAAGTCAGTAGCTGTGCTTCCATCCAAAGTTATGAACGCAAAATTGGAATATCGCATAAAACATTTGTGAATAAAGCAACGTTTCCATTCCATGTGTTCAAGAGAACAAAATCGTCATATCCTGGGAAATTGGTGCAAAATATCTGAAGTTGCTGCAATGGGGGAAGAAACTGTGGCGGCTCTTGATTCTTTTCCCAATATCATATAAATGACTTGCGAAACGCAAAAAACGTTTTCGGATGCTAGTGTGTAAACGCAATCCTGTGAGACACTTCTTGGAGGGAATTAAACCAAATCATTCTGATGACAGACTTTAGTTCAGGCATTTCATTCAACATGTGATGCGATTGGTCCACTGGTTAGTCAATTTTGAATGCGCATGTGAACGCCATCAGGTCACAGGTTCGCGTTTAAAGTCTGTTTAGAGAGAACGCCGTCGTCTTAGCGGCCCCTAATGTAATAACAAATGATAATTTTGCTGGAAGTGAATCAATCAAAACCAACTTTAGCTGGAAATAACATTATTCAAAAATCCCTATAAAGCCAAAACAATCTCTGTTACCGTAAATTGTATGTTTATCTCTGTAAAGCTGCTTTGAAATAATCTCCATTGTTAAAAGCGCTTTATAAATGAAGATGACTTGACTTGACTTGTCCAGTTATCCAATCACATCCTCTGTTGAGGCAGCATCATGTGAGTTTCATCGAGGAATTTATTCGGTAAATGTGTTTCCTACATAGTTTATGCGCATGTCTTATCGGATAAAAAATGATCCGTCTCAAATGAGCGCATCCTTTTTTTTTTTTTTTTTTGGTGTTTTCCATCCAGCGTTTTTTTAATGCGATATCCCAAAATGCGCATTAAAAAATAGGTTATGGAAGCTTGTTTCCACCACAGAATATAAAGCAAGATATTATAAACACGCAATTCTGACTTAATAACTCGCAATTAAACTAATTAATCGAAACTGAAATTCAGGACCTCTAACTGGACATCGTTTTCCCATGTCGGTTATTTGGGTTCTTTAATCCAGTTAAATACTTTCCCATTAAGTACAGGTGAAACTCGAAAAATTAGAATATCGTGCAAAAGTTCATTTATTTCAGTAATTCAACTTAAAAGGTGAAACTAATATATAATATAGACTCATTACATGCCAAGTGAGATATCTCAAGCCTTTATTTGTTATAATTTTGATGATTATGGGTTACAGCTTAAGAAAACCCCAAATTCAAAATTAGAATATTGTGAAAAGGTTTTCATGTAAGCCATAATCATCCAAATTATAACAAATAAAGACTTGAGATATCTCACTTTGCATGTAATGAGTCTATATAATATATTAGTTTCACCTTTTAAGGTGAATTACTGAAATAAATGAACTTTTGCACGATATTCTAATTTTTTGAGTTTCACCTGTACATACAACCACATGTGTAGTCACATGACTCGTACATCACGTGAAGATCGCGCGCACAGAGAAACATCGCGAGCCCAGAAACTCTTTGTCAACGCTGTCGTCCTGTGATTTATCCTAATCTTTGTTCAAGGTTCGGGATTTATCAAGCCAATGTTCAAGTATGTTTCCTTCAATTATTCTAAATTATTTATTGCAACAACAACGACAAAAAATACAAAAATTCGTTTATTACGTTTTAATACGTTTATTAATCGTAATCGAGGTAAAATGTTCAATTAATCGAGATTTTGATTTTGGGTCATATCGTCCACGCAATTTTGAGAGAGAAAAAAGACGCAATTACCTTTTTTTTATTCTGTCCAGGAAACAAGCTTCTATAACAGGTGGATGGAAACATAGCTAGTAGTGAAAAAATTCATGCTTAATAATCGCAGAATTCATGGTGAAAGACTACCCCAATTTGCAAATGATGCAATTGAATCTCCCTCCAATCTCACACTTAATTTTACATTATGTAGTAAAGGGTTTTTAAAACTATTAGAAACACATTACCTGAGATAAGGTTAAAATAAAAAATATATATAAATAAATAGTAATATAAAAACGTAATAAAATGACAAAAGCACATAATATAATTATTACCAAAACAAACTTTAAATAAAATCTAAAGATAAAACGCTAATTAAAGATACATTATAATAGTATAATAATGCTGGGTGAGAAATCGAGTAAACATTTCTAACTAATACTGGGTTAAAGATACAAGTCATAGCAGCAGATGCAATGAGTGAAAATAACAGCATCTTATAACAGGCTTTCATATTTTGATTTTGAAACGTGGAAGCTGTCCTCATTAATATTCATACGTCTAATAACAGCCATAGTGGAACGAAACCCAATCCTGTTTCAAAAACATTCAACATATGAGACAAACGGATCAATTATGTTTTCATTTAAGTTACCCTTTAATCCATCTTAACTGATTAACGTTAGTAGGAGCAGCCTGTCGGCAAAATAGAGAAAACCCACTCACTACTAGGTCCGTTTTTAAATATAACTTTAGATGAGTGTCTAATCATGATGTATATTCATGCACATGGCACATTTATTATAGTTAGTGAGATTTTAACGACGCAAAGGCGGGCGTGAGCAGCTCTCGCGCAGCGTACAAACTGCTGCAGTGACTAGCACTCATGCGCACTAACCTGCTGTCATCGGAGATGTTTCTGATGAACAGAGAAGTGTTTGGAGGTCGCATGTATCTCGCCATAATAATAAAAACTGCAAACTTCAGGTCCACAGACAAACGGGCTCACAGGCCGCAGACCAGCTCGATGTGCACACGTACACGCGCATGCGCACCCAGCTCACTGTGACGTCACCGACGCGTCAAGCAGTTTTTTTTCTCGATTTTCTTTTCTTCAAGCATTTAATAAAAAAAGGAAATTACTTTTGCATATTATTTCAAATTTATATTTACTCATATTGGAATCTTTGACAACAAATATTGTTTGATAAATGTTTTGGCTTATAGCCTACCTAATGAATATTTAATTACAAACAAAGTCAAAGAGGTGTCATTCAAATTGATATTTACCATGTGAAACATTACTTTTGTAAAATATAAAGGTGATATTGATTTTAACTGCACTTTTTGTGACAGTTGCCCTGAAACTGTGGTTCATTTATTTTGGCACTGCCAGACCGTTTTGGCAAAATGTTTGTGATTTTATCACAAAGAATATAGATGGCCAATTTGTGTTGCTGGAAACATTTATTATTTGGTCTTTTTGAGAACTGTAGAAACAATCGCAGTCAGGTTTATATCATAAATTGTATTCTTTTAATAGCAAAATTCCATGTTCAAAAATGTACGTTTTCCTGAAAAAAATTCTGTTTTATATAATTCAAGAAATAAATGGAGCTTTATATTGACTCAATGAAGCAAAAAACTGTTAAAATGTAGAAAATTTGTAAATGTTTGAATATCTTCACGTAGATCAGCATTAAGACCTCCCTATTTTGTAACTGTTTGTTATATGATGTATTCTCTAGGCTAATATTTGTAAAAAATAAAATAAATAAAATATAAAAATTAATTAACATGACCTAACCATTTGTTACTGTATTTATTAATCTTTGTTAATGTTAGTTAATAGAATCCAGCTGTTTATTGTTTGTTCATGTTAGTTCACAGTGCATTAACTAATGTAAACAAATACAACATTTGATTTTAATAATGCATAAAAGTTGAAATTAACATTAACAAAGATTAATAAATGCTGTAGAAGTGCCATTCATTAATAGTTTGTGTTAACTAAAGTAGTTTACTAATGGTAACTAAGTGTTACCGTTTTTTCCTTTATTTTGTATTTTAATGTTGAATTGTCTTTCAGGACAAAAATATTTCAATTAAATGTCAGAATGGGGCAGGCGGTCACATGTTTTATATGTTGTAATTTCATTTAAATTTTATTAAAGCTTTCTATTTCTGTTACGTTTACATTTTTACTGTTTTATTAATTATTCTGAACTAGTGCAATGCCCGTGCAAAATCAGTTTTTGTGTGTTTTTAGTAATTGTTGGTTTGGTATGCTTGAGTTGCTGAATAGCCTGGAGCCTAAACTCTGAGAAAATGATAACGTTAAGCGCACCAGAATAAAATATAATATTCAGAATTAATCAGTCTAGCTGACTTAGAGATTCAGTTAAATCGCTACTTTTTCAAAAATGAATCGATAGTTTTTCAAAAATGAATCGCTACTTTTTCAAAAAAGACTCGATACTTTTTCGAGAGTGAATCTCTACTTTTCCAAAAATGAATTGCTACTTTTTCAAGTGAATCTCTACTTTTTCAAAAATGAATTGCTACTTTTTCAAGTGAATCGCTACTTTTTAAAAAATGAATTGCTACTTTTTCAAGTGAATCGCTACTTTTTCAAAAATGAATTGCTACTTTTTCAAGTCAATCGCTACTTTTTCAAAAATGAATTGCTACTTTTTCAAGTGAATCGCTACTTTTTCAAAAATGAATTGCTACTTTTTCAAGTGAATCGCTACTTTTTCAAAAATGAATTGCTACTTTTTCACGTGAATCGCTACTTTTTCAAAAATGAATTGCTACTTTTTCAAGTGAATCGATACTTTTTCAAAAATGAATCGCTACTTTTTCTTAGTTCTATACATAGTTTTTCATAGTTCTATACATAGTTTTGAAACTATTTACATTGTAAAAAAAGTATAATTACATTGTAATAAATGTACAATAAGAGTGTAACATGTATAATTACATTTTTTACACTACTTTTTAAAAAAGAATAATGTAACAAGATAATGTAACAAATGTATAATAATAATGTAATAGATGTATAATTACATTGTAACAAACGTATAATTACATTGTAACAAACGTATAATTTCATTGTAATAAATGTATAATAAGACTGTAACAAATGTATACTTTTTTACACTACTTTTTCAAAAAGAATCGCTATTTAAAAGAATTGCTACTTTTTTCAAAAAGAATAATGTAACAAAATAATAATGTAACAAATGTATAATAATAATGATGTAATAACTGTATAATAACACTGTAATAAATGTATAATTACATTGTAATAAACGTATAATTACATCGTAATAAATGTATGATAACACTGTAATAAATGCATAATTACATTGTAATAAACGTATAATTACATCGTAATAAATGTATGATAACACTGTAATAAATGCATAATTACATTGTAATAAACGTATAATTACGTTGTATTAAATGTATAATAAGACTGTAACAAATGTATAATTACATTATTTTACACTACTTTTTTCAAAAAGAATTGCTACATTTTTCAAAAGTGAATCGATACTTTTTCAAAAATGAATCGCTACTTTTTCTTAGTTCTATACATAGTTTTGAAACTATATTTACATTGTAATAAACTTATAATTACATTGTAATAAATGTATAATAAGACTAGAACAAATGTATAATTATATTTTTACACTACTTTTTCAAAAAGAATCGCTACTTTTTCAAAAAGAATGTAACAAAATAATAATAATAATAATGTAATAAATGTATAATAACACTGTAACAAATGTATACATTTTTTTACACTACTTTTTACAAAAAGAATCGCTACTTTTTCAAAAAGAATAATGTAACAAAATAATAATGTAACAAATGTATAGTAATTATAATGTAACAAATGTATAATAACACTGTAATAAATGTATAATTACATTGTAATAAACGTATAATAACACTAATGTATAATTACATTGTAATAAAGGTATAATTACATTGTATTAAATGTATAATAACATTGTATTAAATGTATAATTACATTGTAATGTATAATAAGACTGTAACAAATGAATAATTGCATTATTTTACACTACTTTTTAAAAAAAGAATCGCTATTTTCAAAAAGAATGTAACAAAATAATAATGTAACAAATGTATAATAATAATAATGTAACAAATGTATAATAACACTGTAATAAATGTATAATTACATTTTAATAAATGTATAATAACACTGTAATGTATAATTATTGTAATAAACATAATTACATTGTAATGTGTAATAAACTTATAATTACATTGTAATAAATGTATAATTACATCGTAATAAATGTATAATTACATTCTAATAAATGTATAATAACACTGTAATAAATATATAATTACATTGTAATAAACCTATAATTACTTTGTAATGCATAATAATATGCATTTAATTATATCTTCTATTTCTGTGCAATAACAGTGGAATATAGTTTTATATTTGATCAAGACTTAAAGGTTTGTTTCTACAAAAACTGATATTCAAAAATAAAAACAGAGTAAAAAAATTCCCATTCCTGGAACTGTCTGTTGTTGAAAGCTATAGTGTTATTGAAAATGTTTTTGTGAATGATGCAAAGAACCAAAAACACAACAAACTCACACTATTATGATAAATCAGAGCTTTATTTAAATAGCCAGTGATTATCAAACTCCTCAGATCTTTTTGCTCTTCCTGACCATGGTGGTTCCTCCTACTGTCAGGGTCTGGAAAATAAATACCCAGAGAAAAGAGAAATATAACAAATGTTCATATTTTACAGATGTAGACAGTTCTGAGCTCTGATGAGCAACATGCATCTCCAGTACAAACCTCAACCATCTCTCCTCCCTTGATCTCCTGGATGTGAGAGAATCGATCCGTGTGACAGACCAGCTTCCCTCCCTCCAGTTTCACAGTGCACTGGAAGAAAGAAACACATGAGAATATAAGAGTCCAGTTCATGGATAAAGAGCTTTTTTTTCTTCACATCATTAGAGGTCAGAGTAAAATTAGTACAAACACACAAACTTAAAGTCAACCGGAAATGAAAATTGATTTACTTAAAGGCAAGGTAGGTGATTTGTTCCAGAAACTTGTTTTGTTATGCTGGTTGAAAGTCTCTTCACATCTTGATAGCAATCACTACTGTAATTTAAGCGGTTTAAATGTATTTATACGTATATATTGTCTGTCTAAGGCGTAGGACCATAAAATGTTCGTCCTATCATTGCATTCAGTCCCAGTGCAATGATACGATGTCCATACCTGTCTGTCAACATATGTATTTCCATACCTCCGCTCACCTGTTGCGCAGACATCACACGTCATCAGTGTTTCATGCAGAGTAAGACAGACGTCAGTCACCGAGCGCCACAACCGAAACAGGAGTCACCGTTTACAGTTCCTCCTGAACCCAAACAATGAGCTTATGCTGCGTTCACGCCATATACGAGATGGAAACCCACAGCGTTATACTCGGAGCGGTTCGTGACTCGGATGCATTTCATTGGCAACACTATCAACGCTGAAATGAATCTAAAGCAGTCAGGTGGTACGAGTTGTATGTTCATTATTATTGTATGTTATGTGCTTTGAGACATGAGGTAGTTTAACGCAGTCTTCCGTGACATTTTTGTTTGCTCCCTGAGCTGTGCGCGTTCATGTGTTTTAAAGGAGGCGTGACTTTAAAGCTAGTTTGCTATTGCTAGTCACTCCGAAAATCACCATTCTTACCTTTAATACATATCCCTGGTCTAATTAGCCTAAATGAGTCACTGGTGCTGATTAATCTTTGTACTTTTTTCAGTTGAGAATGAAGAAAAGACCGGCTTGATCTCTTGTGAAACTGAGCTCCTGCCCACTATATCAAACTTTGACATCTTATTACAAAGGCGTAAATTATACATATTCCACCTTGAGCTTCCTGCCGTCCATGGTGGTGATCTCAGCTTCCTTGCCGATGGTGAAGGAGTTGGTGACGGTTTTCCCGGGCGTCTTGGATGTGATGGTGAAGTCGTTGCCCTTTTGTTGGATTTCTGTCACTGGTTTAACATCCTTGGCCAGTTTAATAATATCTTCTGGCAGAGCTGAAGGAACAGAAACACACAGATACTGAGCGACCTACAATCACGACAAAGACGAATGATATTACAAATTACCATTCCATCCCATATGGTTTCTATGGAAGCTTGTTTTCGACACCAAATTAAAAAAAAGTGACTTTTTTCTCGCAATTGTGAGTTTATATCTTACAATTTATACTTCATAACTCGCAACTTTGAGGGAAAAATTCAGAATTAGCGAGAAAAAAAAGTCTGTTTATCCTATATCTCACAATTCCGGCTTTATTTCTCGCAATTCCAAGTTTATACTCCGCAAGATCTCTGACTTTACAACTCACAAATCCGAGTTTATTTCTCACAGACTTTATTAGGCTAAACAATTCCGAGTTTATATATCGCAATTCCGATTTTATTTCTTGCTATTCCGAGTTTATATCTCACAGACTTTATTTCTCACAATTCTGAGTTTACAGACTTCTCACAATTCCGACTTTATTCCTCACTATTGTGAGATATAAACTTGGAATAGTGAGTTATAAAGTCAGAATTGTAAGATAAAAAGTAGCAATTACTTGTTTTATTTTTTTATTCGTGGCGGAAAAAAACTTAATATTTCCCAAAACCCATATTTGCCATCTTTTTTATTGTCATTGAATTTTAATACGAACAAAACATAGTCTATTGTACATACAGTAAATATGGGGTACTTGTCAGGGATAGGTAAATAAATACAAGAGAGAGAGAGAGAGAGAGAGAGAGAGAGAGAGAGAGAGAGAGAGAGAGAGAGAGAGAGAGAGAGAGAGAGAGAGAGAGAGAGAGAGAAGAAAAGCATTTTGCAGAGACTATAGGCTATTAAACAGCTGTAGTGTTCATTGATTTCAAGTTTTTACTTTTGGATATTGTATCCAAGTATAGCCTATTTTAACATCAACTTAAAATTGTTCAAAATTTGGCATTTTTTCATTCCATTTGACTTTATGAATATAGTAACGGGGAATGTCCCACCAGCATCGCGTGCTTCATGCGCTGCTTGAGGACACCGCTGCCACCGTGCGATGCTTTGGGGAAATGCAACCCTGATCATTTTATAGGCTCTGGTAAATAGGACGTAAAAACTCACGAATAGCTCTAAGAAACTCCTCGTAGTTCTCCTGAAGATACACCTGCCATGTTCCGTGGAAAGCCATGTCTGCTGATCGGATCTGATCGGGCAAGAGCCTTAGACGCTTCGAGAAGCTCAGCACAATGTGAAGAGGATCATTCCAGTCCAGAAGTCTTTATAATTCACATGTGAGTTTAATCATTGACGTTTTGCCATTTTCCCCTTCTGTTTGAACAACCCAGAGTTCACTAACACCATTTGTGGAGTAATGCCCCCCTGAATATGGGTGCAACTGACCCAGTCTTTTTTTTTAAAACAATTTAGTTTGATGGAATATTACAGAGCCTTGACTTGCATCAATTCATCTACTTAAGAAATTTAGAAATGCTTTCTGTGGGGATCCATGTGGGCCTGGTTATGCAAAGCGTTTCTATTCATAAAAGAATCCTGAAAAAAATAAAAATAAACTGTTTTCAGCCCTGAGAATAATACATGTTTTTTTGAGCAGCAAATTAGCATATTAGAATGATTTCTGAAGGGTCATGTGACACTGAAGACTGGAGTAATGATGCTGAAAATTCCAATAGCGTCTGGCTGCAGACAAGTGACGTCACTTGCACTCTCGGACTTGCACGCTCAGACACGAGCGCTTCCTCTGCAAGTGACGTCACTTGCACTCTCAGACACGAGCGCTTCCTCTGCAAGTGACGTCACTTGCAATCGACGCCTGATCTCTACGGAACGCGATCGTAATAGTCTTTAAACGAAACGCGTGAAATTTGACCGCGTCAACACGAAGTGTTTGTCCGCGGCAATTTTTTACGTGTTTCTTTTGAACGCGTAGACACGCTCATTTTGGTCGTGTTAAGGTGTCATTTGTCATTTTGTTGACAGTTTTTTTCAAATTGCTAAAACACTACAAGTGGAATTTGAGGCTCACTCAGTGAAACCATTCACTCATGTACCCAATCTTTAGACCAAGCCTGCAAAAATACAAGGACATTATATGCTTTGCACTCAGTTTGCATTTGAAAAACAAACTATTTGCAAAACTCTAAACACATTTCTCTACATTACACACATCATTCAAAACTAACAGCTCTTGTGTTTCATTTGGGAAACACTGGCATTTAAATGCCACATTAATTTACTGATGACCTACAGCCAATCATGTGGGAAAACACTTGTACATAAATTGATCACTTAGAAATCAAAACTCAGTTTTGAGAAAGAAAGAAATTATTTTTACTATTATTATATATTTAATTATTTTCAAGACATTTTGGACAATTTCATGCTCCTAACTTTGTGGGAACAGTTTGTAGATGTAAAACATCAAGATGATGCATTTTTTTTTCTTTTTATTGTAAATGTCAATTTACAGTTATTACACACAGTTAATGTGCAAAACAGACAAATACAAGGTAGAAATAGACAATATACAACATATATAAAAACACATTAGCACATTATTCACTTTGCTCTAGTGTAGTTCGACAGTTTACCTTTAATTTCATGACATCGACTACATGTTCAAGAAACATTTGCATGTCATTCATTACAGTAAAGATGAAGCAAAAGGGTTCCAGAGCATCGATTCTGTCCTGTGGAAACTCAGCCTTCTCTAATCTCTCAATGGCTTCCGCAACGTCTTGTTCCTCCATACACTCTACTTTGGGCAAATGAACAGAACCATACAGTGCACTAGATTGATCCAAACACCACTTGCTGGCTATCTTCAAATCTGGCATCAATCGACTCTGTGAAATAACACGGAGAACAAGGGATTGCAAGTGACGCCACAGCCGGTAGCGGAGAGCAGGTGTCGACTGCAAGTGACGTCACTTGCAGCGGAAGCGCTCGTGTCTGAGCGTGCAAGTCTGAGCGTGCAAGTCTGAGAGTGCAAGTCTGCAGCCAGACCCTTCTCGAAAATTCAGCTTTGATCACAGGAATAAATTACATTTTTAAAATATATTCACATAGAAATCAGCTATTTTACATTGCATTTATTTGATCAAAATACAGTGAAACAGGAATATTGTGAAATATTATAACAGTCTCGGTGAGCATAAAATATCTTTTCCAACTTTTGAATGGCATAGATATAGTATCTCTTGCAACAATCCTTCCTCGCAGTCATGCAAGCCTGTTATAATTTAGTTCTATCTTTAGTTGATGGATTTAAACAGGTTCAACGAACACACAACTCTATTGTTAATACTGTAGCTGCATGCATATAAGATTAACCAAAATATTTAATAAATGAGCAAAATGGGGCTTGAAAATGAGCAATGAGAAGCCAAATGGATGAACTGCACTTAACTAAATGAGAAATCACCACGAACAATTTTAAAACGAGCATCTCTGCAGAATGAGATGAGTTCTTACAACATTAATAACACATTCAAACATGGTCACTTCATACGCTCAATAGAGAAGACGCACTGTTATCACCACATGGCAAACACCGGTGCAAATAATATAATGCACGAGACACGATTTATTCATGTGTGCATGCATGAGTCCAGCATTTTATACACAAGTAAATAAAAGCAAACAAATCTAACAAGTCTAGAATCTCCTCTCAGTTTATCTGAAGACTGTTTTACAAAAAGGAACCGGTTGAGATACTAGTGTTTAAACATGAGGGGTGAATGACTCTGTGGACTGTGGAGTTTGCTTTCTATCTGTTCAAAAGATTCAGCCCAGGATTGCGTAATGATAGATGCAACAGGCCTCGATCTCTCTATTATGAAACATCAGCAGATGAAACATCCATCCATCCATGTACAGGCAAAAAATAAAAAATCGATGGTGACACTATTGTAATGCAGCTGGAAAGTGTGTTCACAGTCAATCTGATCAAAGTTCGCTGTCCACTTTTATTCCCTGATGATTTATTTAGTTAATGAACAAAAAGAGAGAGAAACAGATTTAATTTGCACTTTATTCTGTAAGTGGCACAGGATAAATCAGAGGAAACAAACCACAAATTAAATCAGTTCAATGCCTTTGGACACTCACATTAACAGTCACTCACGCTCCAAAATGAACAAGCACATGCCTTGTAATTTTGTAAATAAGGCAAGCTTGTTTTTGCCACAAAAAAAAAAAAAAAGGTAATTCCGACTTTTTATCTCACAATTCTGACTTTTTTCTTGCAATTGTGAGTCTATCTCATGGGAGAAAAAAAGTCTGAATTGTGAGATAAAGAGTCGCACTTGTAAGAAAAAGTCAAAATTGTGAGATAAAAAGTCACAATTACTGTTTGAATTTTTTATTCCGTGGCAGAAACAAGCTTCCAGCCTAGAAATCACTGTTGACTTGAAAGAAAATGATGAGTTTGTCCTGGTGTTACTGATTTACAGGTGCACTGCATCTGCTCGGGGCTTTTCCCCATGCTTATACACACTGACGGTCACGGGAACCGTCTGCGAGCCGTGTTTATTGCGTACGAAGATGCTATAGTTGCCCGAGTCCTCCATGGTCACGTGGTTGATAGTGAGCGTGGAGGATTTATTCTCGTTTGTGATGTTATACTGGCCGCTGGAGACGATTTCTCTGTCGTTCTTTAGCCAGGACATTTCCGGCACTGGGTCGCCATCGGCAAAACACGTCAGACAGAGAGACTGAAGAGAAAGACAGAATGATTGTGTGAGCTGAAGTAAGAGTCAATGAAACACAGAAGGGATGGAGACGTACCTTCTCCTCCATTATGGCCACCACATCAGGAAGACCCTTTGTGACTTTGGCTCGATCTGTCAGAGATGGACAGTTATGATGAAGTGTGTAAACGCTTTACTAAAACACAAGACAAACCAATACTTACTTTTCTCAGCAAACTCCACTTGCCTGTGAATGAAGACGAAACCATACAGTTATATAGAGAATGAGTTTGCAGACTCACCTAAAGACCACTGAACGTTTATTAACGTAAGATTTCAACTCATTTTCCAAACTTTTAATAAATATAAAGAAAAAGATTTTGTATTTTTTAATAATCTTTGTATTCTTTTTGTAAATAAATTTAATACATTTTTGTAAATAGATTTAATTGTATATATATATATATATATATAAATTGCTATTACGTGTATATAATATTGTTACTTACATTACAAATTTCTTAAAAGAGAAAATATTTAGATTAAGTTTTGCAATGTCACAATTCCTTTTTAATTCAATGTTTTTTTGTAAATAATTATTATATTATACTATATTCACCTGAATACCACTTTTTAGTGAGAGATGTAAAGTAATATTATAACCTTACAATAAATAAAGAAAAAGATGTAATGATTCATTTTTTTTAAATAAGTGAAACCACTTTCATTTTAAACTATATACTTACATTACTAATAAAAAAAGTAGATAAAGTGTTTTGTAATATTCAATTAATTTTCAATCCAATTATTATTTTTTTGTAAAAAAGTGGTCAATTATATTTATTTTTGAATACATATATATCAAAAATAATATATTTATATTTTATTTAGGCCTATATTATATTTTATATAGAAAATTGGTGTCCTTAAAGGTCCTCATTTTTTAAATTAAATTTAATTAATCAATTTCCAAAAGATGATTTTTTTATTCCTCTTTTTAGTCAACTTTAGCATGGGTGTGTTCACTTATGCTAAGCACTGTATAATAACCCTGAACTGAGCTAACTGACAACTCTTTATATTTTTTCCTACAATTTTGGTAGAGAAATAAAAAAATATAAAGCCATAAAATGAATGTGCATAGCTGGTAAAAGCTGATTGGATCTTATTACTAATACACATACATATATACTATATTAGGAATAAGATCCAATCAGTTCTTACCACTTTATGCGCACATTTTACTGAAACATCACACTGTTCACAGAAATCACCATTCACTCTAATGGCACATTCTATAAAGTTCGTCTGAGTTAGCAACGGTAACCAAAGAGGGCGGAGCTTCAAATTCAGCTGATGAATATTCAAAAGCATCTTCACTTACTTTAGCCTCTGGTATTCCAGCAAAGCATCTGCAAAAGCTACAGAGAAGAAAGAGAGGTTTTAGGCTTCAGGCTTCATGGTCCTGCTCGACGCGCATGTTGTGTGGCTGTACCTTGTCCAGACAGATCCAGAGAGCGCTGGTGTGTTTCCTGGCCGTCGAACATCT